CCTGGAACGCGGGCGTCTTGCGCCACGCCGTGTTGTAGTACTTGGAGTCCTTGCCGACCAGGCCGCTGACGCGCACCGCAAAATGCGTCACCCGGCCTAGATCCCTGCCCGCCGTCTGCGCCAGCGCCCACGTGAAGCGCGGAAAGTAGCGCTGATTCTCCGCGACCGACAGCGTGGCGGCGGCGGCACCACCCCCCACCGTCGCGGCGTAGGCAATCAGGTCCCGCGCCGCCGCCACATCCGGCGCGACCGGCTTCTCGGCAAGTACGTGCTTGCCGGCGGCCAGGGCGGCGCGCACAAAGGCCGGCTGCGCGGGGATGGGGAGCGCAATGGCGACGGCGGAGATGTCGGCCCGGGCGAGAAGGTCCGCGAGGGTGCGGCCGGCCGCGTCTTCGGCGTAGAGGTCCGGGCGGGTCGGGAGCTGCGACGCGGCGGCCTCGGCGGACTGGAGGGAGCGCGAGAAGATGGCTTTGAGGGAGAGGAGCTCACATTGGAGGATGGCGGGCTGGGGTGAAGCAGGTTAGCGGACGGGGACTAAGGAGTGCTTCCGGCGGCGGAGAAGGGGGGGTTCACAATGTGCTGCTCTTTGACAAAGATGCCGCTGCCAATGATGGCAACTCCGATTGGCGCCATGGTCTGTCTGCTTTGTGGTTGGGGTTGGATGGAAAGCACTGCAATGCATGTGACATGTGAGAGAGACGAGTGCCAAGACACCTAGGTGTGTTGGCCAAAGAAATAGTCGTTGGGGTTCTTGAGAACAAATGCGGGGAGGCATGATATCATACAGTTAGACGGCACCCACACAAGTGCCCCTGCTCAATCTTGCCCTAGATATCATAGTTTCATGATGCGCCCCGCCTTGGTGAAGAAGTTATCGACAAGTGGCGTGTACAAAAGAACATGAGTTATAGTATGTATATACATGGAAAAGTGCAGAAATAACTAGAATTCCACTCAAGCGCTCCCAGCTCACACCGCGTCTGAGCGGTTTGATTCTCTCAATCCAGCACTGTCTTTTGTCTCTCATCCCCACTTGCCTGCCTCTCAGCGTTCAGCGATCCCTTTATGCTTCCTCAAATCGATACAGCTGCTCGATATGCAGCCTTGTACAGTGCCGCCATCGACGCTCGCGCCGCGCCCTCTCGTCGTCGACCTCGAGCAGCCTGCGCGCCGAGCCCGCGACGACGACGACAGCGGTGTCATCATGCTCTTCGACGTGGCTGACGTCAAAGGTCTGCAGGTAGACGCGCGCGAGCAGGATGCGGATGCGCGGGGCCGCCGACTTGTTGTGATGCCGAAGCCGGCTTCGTTTCATAGACACGGCCACCATGGTGTGTGTGCTGTGTCGACTCGGCGCTGAAGATGGGTGGATTTTTCGTCCGCCTTGGTCAATACGACATTGGAATTGCAGTCATGGAAAAAGGGGCCGAGGGCAAAAGCCAGAGGTTATGTCTTGGTCGATATAGTTCTTCTGTGGTGGCAGAATGATGGACCGCAGAAAGTTCAGCTCACTGGGCGGGAATGGCCTGGGGGCAAATCACGGCTCGGCGCAGAAAAAAAAAAGCCAAAAGTTACACATCACGGTGCATGTACAGACCACCTCGCGGCGCTGCACACCATCATCATACGTGGAAGTGCATGCAGCTAATAAGCCGACCCCCCGGCTACGTATTCGAAGCTGTTCCTGATATCTCCCGCATCGTGCAAGGTTGACCTGCTCAACCGTCGAGGAAACCCAGTAGACCATGATGATCCGGAGCCCGCGTTCCATTTGAGCATTGCATTTCAACGTTCTGTAATCAATCATAACCGCCATCTATATAGTTGACTCTTCGTCCCGACTCCGTAACTATGTAGTCCCGTAGCCTCCCCATCGTACTTCGCCAGCGTGGCCTTGCATGAGCACTACATCTGCCAGCCTATCCATGCAAACATCCCACCATTCACCTCTCTTGCCCACCCACACCATTGATTTGCTGTTCCAACTAATTACGGGCGGTAACAAGGCTGCAGGATATACTGCCTAAGGCCTGTCTAGATGCACATCTCTTGTCAAGACGGACGTTAAGCACTCTGTATGTTTTGCCTCTATAATTTCATCTCGTAGATTGAAGAAGCTGCAAAATCACCGCCGCTTCATCACAATTATATACCGAAACTCGTGAGAAACAGTCACATACGACCATAGAGGACAGAAAAAACTGGGTCCCGTCCGCTCCCCAAAAGTCAAGCTGTCCATCGGCAGATTAGTAGTTGGGTCGGTGACGACCAGCGAACACCGGCTGTTGTATGTTTTTACTTTTTGTCGTGTCTTGACTTTTTTACTCCTTTTTAATCTGAATGATTGAGCAATTCCGTAAAGAACGAGGCTCGAAATTTCCAAGACCCAATTTGTATTTGCAGTGCAGCTGTTCCTAGTCCAGTATTTAGTGGGCACCTGAAGGCTACTTAGGTACCTCAGAACTACGAGAGCTATAAAAGTATCGCTCTCATAAGTAGGTGATACAAGCCATGGGATGCACTTCCAAGTCGAACAAATTCATGAGCGCATCAAGTCATTCATTGTCCAACTGATCAAATAAGTACATAGAAATGTCAACACCTTTGGTGCTTGCCCGACCCCGCGAGAACGAATCGCCCAAAAGTATTGCCTCCCCGCTGACGCCAAATTCCCGCTCTTGTGGTATCTTTGCCGCCCAATTTCCCCCAAAATAGAGATTTATACATCGGCCAAAGAAAGAGAAGAAACTCCAAAACATCATCATGTCATTTACACAAGTTCGTCCGCATCGTCCATGTCTTCCTCAATCCCCTCCAAAAAGTCAATCCCGTCATACTTTGCGACCGCCGGCAAGTCCTCCTTGATCGGGAACCCAAACTTGGCCACCCCGGCTTCACCCCCCACGATACCTACCGGCGCGACCGGATGTCCTTCTCGCAGCCATTTTTGCAGCTTCAGCGCCGCCCGGGACACTTCGATGCAAATGTGCCAGTTGTCCAGTCCGATCGACAGCAGCGCCACCACCATGAGCATCTTGGAGAAGCGCGCCGGCGCCGTGTCGTGCCCGCTCGGAACGAGTCCAATCGTGATCCAGTGGTAGACGCCGAGAATTGTCTTCCACTGCGCCAGCGGCACCTCCCATATATTCATCCAAATCTGTAGAAACTCATTCGAGTCGCACACCTGGCTCGTCGGCAAGCGGGCCAAGATGGCGCGGCAGTAGATGAGCGCCACGTGACGAATCACGCGGTACATGAGGTCCGGACGCGCGCCCGCCGCCGCGAAATGGTCGCTGCCGCTGCGCGCGGGGGACGTGTTGGGCGTCAGGGAGGCCTCGTCTTTTGGCGTACCGCTTTCGAACACGCTGCTGGCGTACGTGTTTTCCGGTGAGGACCCGTCCCAGCGCGCACTCGTGCCCGTGGAGGTTCTGTCCGCATTCGAATCGGCATCTATCAACGTTGGCTGTTGGCCGTGGTGTTGCGGCATCTGCTGCGTTCTCTGCTGGTGCATCTGCAAGTCTTCCTGCTGCTGCTGCTCCTTGCAGCTCCGCTTGGGCACGTTCTCGGGGAGCATGGAGATGCGCTGGTAGGTCCAGGCCGCCAATTCGGCCACCTTTTGGAGATTTTCTGGCGTTTGGTGTTCGGGGAGGTCGAGAACGAGTTTAAGCAGGTTTCGCATGTCGTCGAGAAGCTGGTTCGCGTTGGGGTGTAGGCTGAGCGTAGAGGCCGAGCTAGCAAATGGCGGCCAGTCTGACATGAGGGGTGAGTTAAAGGATACTTGGTACGGCACCATGAATTCATCTTTAAACTCGAATCCTTCCTTGTCAAACATAGAGGCCGGGACTTCGTGAGCGAGGGCGATGGTGATGTCATCCCTGGGCCATGAATTAGTAGTGCAACATGTTGGCTGCATTTGTGTCTTACGTGATGACAGTCTTGGCGAGGAAACCCTGCATGCCCAAGGTCTGAAAGCCTCCTCGAATTTTAATCATGGATTTCAGGCCGAGCATGTGGGCGTGCATCTCCTCGGTCGTTCCCCAGTACCACGAGTCTAGCACCATCTGGGCGGTGCCCATGATGACTTCATCACTGAGGTTCTTGCCGACTTTGGCGATGTGTTCGTTGATAAGTTTGTGCACGGCGCTCTTGTGTGCCCAGACGACCATTTTAGGGACCTGGCCAGTCTCGTTCAAGAAGCAAGCGGACGTGTAGAGGATGATTTGCAGGTTGAGCGGCGACTTGATGGAGAGAGGGACCCAGTGCTTCATGAATCGATTCGTCGGGTTCGGGGCGCCATCCACCACTGCTTTAAATCGGCAAAGTAGTTGCAAATCTATATACTGTTAGGAACACGATATGGAGAGGGATCTGCCAGGAGTAAAAAGTACATATTCGAACAAGCTCAATGTTTAACTTGTTGAGGGTCATGGGCAAGTTGTGGAGGTGATCTTCGTAACTGCTCACTTGCAGCGGTGGTCTCGTCGCGCGCTCCGCCATGCGCAACAGCGCTCTCGAGTCTAGGGTATATTCATCATTGACAATCTTATTGGCAAAGTTGACTCGGACCTGGAGGATCGTCTTGAGCAGGGTCCGCATGTTCTGGGGCTTCAGGATGCCGGTTTCGTCCTTGACAATAATCTTGAAGGGCTGCTCCTTGCCACCAGTGCCGCTGTTGGTTTTGGAATGAAGCTTGCTTTCGTCGTTTTCCGTGTCTTGTGAGCCTTTCAAGGCCCGGCCCGAGTTTTGGCGTCGGGGGAACTTGACAGAATACGATTGGGAGCCATTCTTTTCGATTTGGTCACGCGTCTCGCGCTCCAGCTGCAGAATGGCGTCTTGTAACTCGCTCACGTCGAGATGCGAATAGGCCGGGCCTTCCACGACGACCTTGACATCGTTGGGCCGCGTACCTCCTTGGCTTGATGATCTACGGAGGGTTGATTTGAGCAAACGAGTTGTGGAGTGGTACCGCAATTTGGACCTACCTTCTTGTGGGGGTGGTTGTATATTCACATGTTGTTTGAGGGAATCTTCGAAGGCAATTTGTGCAAGGTTGGCCTTGGGAACACTTTTGAAGGTTAGTAGGGGTCAGTAGCAATGCGGCATGTCGGGGCGATGACGAATGTATGGTAACGTTATACACTTGCTCGTCGCTTATACACTCGACTGCTGGTACACGAATGATTTAAAAAAGCGCAACCAACCAACGGTCAGGGCTGGGGTTGGGCTATAGTACAATGGCCTTCAACCCAACAAACAGCAACTAGGAAGCAGCACCAATTCAACAACTCACCTTTTGCTTTCGACGGCGACATTCTGTGCACGATGTGGCATATCTCGCCTTTCCCTGGCCACGCTGGGATTGCGATCCCTGCGCTTGGGGATTGGCAGACATTGCAAAAGTATCCCGCCGCAGGTAGGACGAGGTGTAGCGGAGGGGGGGCGCAAGGCCCAGGTGAGCGGCGGCGGCACTGATAACGGGCCGGCGTGAGGCGCACCAATATATGTGTGAGAGCGATATACGGTGTCAGAATTGGTGAAAGCGGCGGAGTTGTTGGAAAAGAGATGTTATTTCGAAACGGCCAATTCGCGGGCGAGCTAGGTAGTAGGGGGCGACTGGTGAGATGGAAAGAAGATGAGGCACGGCCGCACGGGTGAGGCGATGGTGGTTGTGTTGTTTGGTGGTGGTGGTGGTGGTGGGCGGCGGGCGGGCGGGTTCCTAGAAGCTTTCTTGGCGGAGGTGGCGGCGGCAGTCGTCGATGCCTCGGTGGGCTTTGGCGTTGAAATCGCTGAAGGGGTACTCGAGGTTCGAGGTTGAATCTTGATGAGTAGCCGCACGTCGACGCGGATGATGGGAAGAAAAGAGGAGAGTATGTCTAGTCTTGTAGATACACAACAACTGATAGAGGAAGATGAGAGAGCGGATAGACGCACTAATGAAGAAGAAGAAGAAGAAGAAGAAGAAGAAGAAGGAAAAGACAAAAGCGCATGGAGCATGAAAGAGAGGCAGGCATGGGTTTAAGGTAGGTGGGCAGTTTGGCGTATTTTAGCGGCTCTTTTTGGGGGGGAGCGTTTCCAGTGGGTACCTTAGTAGGTACTGTCCATGGGAAACAAGGCGCTATAACTTTTTAGCTGTCCGGGATGGTGGGTGGGTTGCCGATGGAGGTTCCTTTGACAAACTTGAAATTATTAGTAAAGAGCAAGGACGGGCAGGCAAGCACGAACTGCTACATAGGTAGTTAGTCGACTTATTTAGTGGCAAAACCAGTTGCCTGGAATGAATTGGTGGGAACTGCTGCTTGCTGCTTGTGGACAATAGTCGAGTCCATACAACTGTACCTACTAAGGTACTATGACCCCGCGAAGATACCAAGTACATACAGATACTCCGTAATATGTACAGATTACCATCGCCAGAAACACTCCTCGGTCAAGAATAGGCTGGCAACAACTCCCGTGCCTGCCCGCCGCGACAATCACCAGTCCCGGCCGCTCTAGAATACAATGCTGAACAATACCAGTCGCTACCTAATTTCCCGTCCTCAATCTCTCACGATCCTCTCTTTCATGCCCTCTCGCAGCAGCCATCCGTCACCTCTCCCACCTCACCTCACCCTGGAACCCTGCACCGCCAACGTCGACCCCATTCCCCATTCTGCAAGCGAGTGATTATCATCTGCAGCCAGTGGCCAGGGGGCGGGTTCTGCGTCGCCGCCACACAATGCCCCCCTCCCAGTTCCTGGGCCGGTGGTGTCATTTGTAGCCAACGAACTAGGTAGGTAGCCTTTGTCCCCAAGACGCCTATTCGTGTGTAGTGACGGAGTTTTCCGTCTACCAGTGCCTTTCTTCACCCAAGAGGACCAATGCGAGAGAGAGAGAAAAGTTGCCCCGTACACACTGCTACCCAAGATAGACAGTTCGGAAGCGGCAATTCAGAATACGGAATGGGGTGCGAGCTCTACCAGTACCAGCACAACTAACACAGATGCTGCGGGCGTTGTTCGTGGCGCGGCATTAATATACGTTGCCAATGCCTGAGCAACTTTGAAGAATTCGTAGTTATTTTTCGCCCGTTCTTCTTTGCAACCTCCAACTCACCGACTAATAAGCTAGTTATGCCTACTCTAGGTTACTTTAAAAAACGAGTTTTTTTTCATGTAATCTAGTTGCAACAAACAGTCTCGAGAACCCCGGTCGTATTCAGAGACAGATTCTATTTCTGACCCTGACATGGCTTGCCTGCACCTTCCCGCTGGCCAGTGCTTCCGCTCATCAGTGAACGAGCCAACTTGCCTGCCGCTCAACCATCATGACATGCGCTTGTCCATCATTACGTGCCTCTTGAGTCTTGTCTTGTTGAGGTCAGAGTGCTAGTTCTACTCGATCAAATGTCGGTGCCTGTCACACTTCCCGAGGCGCTAGGGATCAAGATTCCATCACTGCCGAGTTTCCAGATTTGGGCCGCGCCACGGAATCAACAAACCCATGCCATATGGACCTGTCATCTATCAAGACAGCGCTGAGTTCTCATTTCTTGCGCCCTGAAACCTGCTCAATCTGCAACACACTATCGCCGCCCTGCAATGTATCAGTAGATGGCCGTGGCGCGCTCTGGGCTTGGCCGGCCGGCGCCGCGTGACGCTCAAGCAGTCAAGGTTCTTGGATCAGAATCCGTCTCCCTCCATCTACAAAAACGCTCATCTCCTTGCTGGCAACCGGGAACCCGTCCGCGATAAGATCCCCCGCGATGATGGCCTCTTCCATCGCCACCAGGATCGAATGGCTGGGCCGCTAAAAGCGGCGCAAACAGCCGCCTAGTCTTCTCATCAGCTCGCTCTCGTCGGTCCCGCAGCGTACGCGCCCACTGCCACTGCGTCGTCGTCGCTGGTTGCTAATTTTATTGAGATTTTTACACCGTCGTCCCTCATCCTTTCGTGCACACCTGACCCTGTCTTGCGAACCCTGTGATGGCCACTTTGCTGCGGGCGTGCGCCATCTCGTGGCCTGAGTCAACCATCTGCAGCGACTGCAGGCAAAGAACTCCCACGCTGCCCCGGTTCCCGGAACGAACAGTGCTCCTTCGGCAGATGAGATGATTTGAGTTGCGACCGTTGTCTTCACCACCGCCCTCACCGTGCGTGTGGATGCCGCTGTGGATGAAAATGCCCTCTCGAATGGGGCGTTCCGGCCTTAGCCTCTCTAGGCCCGACCCTGGGGCTGTACTAGAATGTGACTGCATCTTCGGCGCCTCCGTTATCTGCTCGGTGGCATTCATGCATTCATGTGCATTCGAGGCTGGCGACTATTTTGCTGTTCTTGGTTGCGACGAACGCTCTTCTTGGCTGTGCATCTGCACCCGGTTATCCCAGAAACAGCCCTGCCTTGATCGGTTTCACCAAATCAACAACACAGCAGTTGCTAACAGTCGCCCTCTATACTAGACGATCTTATCAACGAGAGCCCAAACTTCCTCGAGACGGCGCCGCCATGGGGCGGGCCCGTCAGTGCGCTCATGGGGCGCGACGCCGAGCGCCGCGCTTCAGATCAGTGACCGACGGCTTGGCTTCCTGTCCCACCAGAGCCAACGCATGAAGCTGGCACGACTATGATTCAATCTAACGTCTCCTCCATCGCACTCTGCTAGTCAACGTCAACTATGGTGAGCAGAAGTCGCCAGCCCCATGATGGGCCACCGGCAATGTTGGGTCGTCAAGTTGCCCGACAACCTTCTTTGTGGTGCGAATTCTCACCAGTGCGATCCTTGGATGCTGGAAACGATAAGCGTCTTCGGTACCAGAAATAAGACGTATTGATCGTATTCATGCTGCCACTCCACGGTTGGGCAAGGCTGACCCAGTGTAGCCCTGTCAGCACTTGGCTCCAGCTGATATAGCCCGCCATGTGGGAATGGACCAGGAGAAGGGGAAAAGCAGGGCCTTTCGTCGATGACGGACTTGCGGGCCACGGCACTTGACTCGAGTCGTGATCGGGCCTGTCGTCACACATCTCATGGCGCCGGGCTGAACAGAACCCTGCAGATAGCATGGCGTCCTAAGCTACCATGGCCTTGTCAGATGAACTGTCGACAATCGCTCATCGTGACACAGACTCTGTGTATCCTGCTCACCTATTTCAAAACAAGGTAAAACCAAGCATTGCGCATTGAAAGGGGGGGTCTGCCCGCCTTGCCGATATAGGGTATCCGTTAGTGGTTAGGTGCTGTGCATGATGGCACATATACCACCGAATGAATTGTAGGGGTTCAAGTGCACAATAACATCACAAGGCCAGCCCAAGTACCTCATGAACAGTATATTCCATACACGATGCTGGTCAGCTTCCATACTCAATGCCTTGGCGCCGCCGTTTCCAGAGATGCAAGATCTCTAGTTCCGTGTAAGCGCCTTGTGCCGATTCCTCATCAACGTCGAAGCAAACACTACCAAAGGAAGAAAATTGGAAAGTTACAGTGTCCCGGTCTAGTGAGGACAAATCACGGCCTTTGCAAACACAACAGGTCACTACTCCGAGTCACTTTGACGGGATATTTTTTCTTCCTTGTCGAATATCGAAGACGCGCAAGCCCTTCAGAGACATGTCTCAAACAGGAACAAAGCACCCCATGTCGAGCCGTGGCTTGCATATGCCCAAAGGGACTCGAACATTGTCCCAACGCCTCAGACAGTGTTCCAATTCACAGTCTTGATGACGCAGCACAATAAAAATAACCTCTGTATGCCTTTCTCTTGTTTGTCTTCGGGGACTTGGCGGACGGACTCGGGTCTTTCGGTGCCGATCCTCCCCGTTCTCGCTTCGACACATCAGACGGTGGTGGTCGTTGCGCGCGCCAGCGCCAAGCAGGTCAGATTCCCCCGATGCCGGCAGTTGTGAATCCCGTTTCGGCCATGCGCCGTTCCTGGGTTTGGCAGGAATGGAAAGAGTACAGGAAACGGCGACCGAAGCCTAGGGGATAGTTTTGCATGTATAAGGGGAACGCTCTTCTCCACCAACGAGCGCAAGTGTCATCGGTCATTCCGTGATGACTCAAGGAAAGAACAGGAAAGGGGCTGCCTACGGTTTGGTCCTACGGGATGTGCTTCCATAACAGGCAACTGAAGAGTTTTCTTTTTTTTTCCCCTTTTGGCCCCCGACCCTTCCATTTCTTGCACCGAACTAGAGTTTATCACAGGCGTTGCATATTTTGTCGTCGCGCTGGGTGAGGGGTCGCCGATCCTGGATGACTCCGTAGCCCGGCACCGACAATAGTACCAGCAACGGGGTTTGGAATGGTATCAACAGTTGTTATCTTTTTGTCTTTCCCAGTAAAAACGTGACACATGGAAACAGTTCATAGCCGTTGTTTCCATTGCCAGACAGGACAAAGACAGTAACTATTTTCGCTCGGACTTGATGTGTACGAGGCCGGCAATGTACGGAATACGGAGTAGCGTTCGGCGCGAGAGCCGGTTCAGCCGCAAACGCTACAGCCACAGCGCCGCCGACAAGAGTGCGCAGACTTTTCCGTTCTTTTCAAGGTTGAACAGTCAAACAGGCCACTTTTGTACCTTCTCTTTGTCAAATCATGACCAGATGTTCACGTACCGAGACCGGCGGTCAGAGGATGGACATGCCCATTTGGGAAGTTGGGATCCCTTCTGGTGCGGGGAGGAGGAGGGGAACAGGCGGGCGTCGCCACGTATCCGTCCTTTAATAACCATAGCCCCCACGTTCTTCTTGGTGATGAGATAACAACCACTGAGATAACATGCGCTGGTCCAGGCTCAACACTTTGAAGACACTGAGCGTTGGGAAATTGTACGTTGCGGCGTTTTCAGTATAATCTCGGTATCCAAATATGTCTCTTGGAAATAAGCGTAGACAACCTAAAGAAAGGGGCGAGAAAGAAAGCCAGGTAGGTACAAGGTCATCACGCATTTTTCCTGTGTGCCATTCCGTGAAGAAGCTGGGGGCTCGTGGACGCGCGCGCGATTGACAACAGCGCATTGCATTATCCGTGCGCATGTGTAAAAGTCACAGGAAGCATCTTTTTCGCTGGCGGCGTGCGCTTTTCCGGGCCGACATATTATTAAAAGCTACCCTGCCAGTCCAACGTGACCCTTGTTAATGGGGGGCAGCAAGGATAATAAAAGATTCTTTAGCTTCCTTTCTCTAACTACGAGATGTGATAACCAGAAGAGGGGCGCGTGCCTCCCGGTGATTTGGGTCGATTTTCGGGACCATGTCGTCGGGAGCGCGCGGTTCCAAAGGCTTGGCAGATTTCTGAGACGAATTTCCACCTTTGGAAGCTGCATCGTAGTCTTGAATACGAAAGAAACTCCTTACAGGGCGGTTGACGCCAACAGGCGAGCCAAATGAGTTGATTGCATGCGAGGTAGTTAGTTTCTCAATGCAAAACATCCGGTTGGTTATTAGCCGCGCATAGGCAAGGAAGGAAACGGATATCGAAAACCCCATTGTAACCGCCGGAAGCGGATCTACGGTATGGAGAGAATGGACAGAGAGGGGGCTTTGAATGCATCAGGCCATACCAGATGTGCGACTGGGGGGGGAAGCAGAGGGAAACACGAATCATGATTCATGACCCTTGTCATGTAGGCTACCAGACCCCAGCCAAACCAAGCTGAGTTGCCGACAAAGAAATCCAAAGGAAGCTATCCTTCCTTGAATGGCTGGTCCAACCAGCGGACAGAATTGAAAGCAGCCACGAGATGCAGCATCGGATGATAAACACAGCAGTCCATACATCGCGGGGGCGTCATCATAGGATATCAATGTTTAGGGGAAAGCTTGGAATTGAGACTGAACAGTCCCGTGATATAGCCACAGTCATTCACATTAAATCGTCATCTTCAAGAAACGTAGCGGAGCACGGCTTCGTCTCATCACTGACACCCAAAAATCAGGACCACGCCGAGCCCGTCTGCATGCCCTTTTCGCGAATAGAAGCACAAGTAAAAACAATTGCTCAATACGAGGTGACTTGAAACAAAAACAACAACGCAAAAAGGGGGTATTGCATGCATCCTCACTCTCCTTTTCCAACCCGTCTTCAACACGCACAAATCGCTTTTTACAGCTTGCCTATATACAAAAAGTCTCCAGTGTGGCGCTCTCTGCCCAATCCAAACTCTTTTTTTTTTCATCAACCCCGGTATTCTGGTTTCCGCGCCATATTCACCGGCGGCGGCGGCGCTTCCTCCTCGTCATCCGTCGGATACGGCAGCGCGTGGCCGTTGCTCGCATGACTGCTCGTCACCCGATGCCCAGGCAGGGGCGTCTTGGGCGGGAGCGGCGGCGGCTCGATGCGCGTCGACGGGGGCGCCGACCGCGGCGTGGGCGGCAGCGGGCACGCGTGCTCGTCGGGGCTCATTATCGCAATCTTGTCCGCGCCCGCAGAGTGTCTGTACTGCGACGGCGAGGGCGCCGTGGCGAGCAGCCGGTCCGGGTCATTGTTGCTCGGCGTGCCGCTGCCGCTGCGGTTGCTGCTGCGTGATGGCGGCGGCGGCGGCGATGCGGTTGGCGGGTATCTCGCCGCGCCGCCGGGGCGCGCGTCGTACGAGTTCCGCGGGGACGGCGCGCCACCCCGCGTCGGGGGGGTGTTGCCAACGGTCAGGCTGTCGGGCCGGCCCGAGTCAAACGAGGCCCGCGAGAGGGCGCTCCGGGGCGACGGCGGGAACGCGCTGGGCATGTCACCGGGAAGCTCTACGGCAAAGGACACGTCAAAGCTGGTCGAGGATGGCTGCTGCTTGACGACTTCCGGGATCGAGTTGGCCTGTCGCTCAAGGCGCTGCCGCGCGCGGTGCACTTTGGCCAGGCGTGACGAGATGCCCAGAATCATACGCTGCTCCTCGTCGCGCGCCATGTAGCGGCGCGTGCCGGTGCTGATATCCCCCAGCCGATGCCACTCATTCATGCCAAACTCGCCGACGCCAATCTCAACATTCATGCGAAAGTAGTTTTCCGGGTTGACGTTGCGCCGGGCAAGGTGCTCGCGGAGCATAAACTCGTGAATCTTTTCACAACCTTCGATCTTGGCGATGAGCCGGCGCCGCGCCTCGGCGAAATCGCCCAGGAAGCCCTCGTACCAAACCTGCTGATTGCTGCCATCGCTGCTGCGCGGGCGCTTGCCAGTGCCGACACTGACAAAGACGCCCACGTCGCGCCCAGGCCACTCGTTGACAACGGCCTCGTCGAGCGCCTCGGGGGCCGGGTTGAAGGTGCCGACGCCGTCGTCGTGGAAGCTCGACTGGCCAATCTGGATGGGCTTGAAAGCGAGGCCAACGGCGCACGTGGCGCGGCCGGCTTGCCAGATTTTGCAGTCAAAATCGGGAGGCGGTTCGTGGCGCGAGTCGTAGGATCGGAGAATGACGGGCGCGGCGCGGCGTGGAGAGTCTTTGTACATGGCTGTGACGGCACTGAGTGCATGTTAGCGCAAAGATTGGAAGTCGCAGAGTTGGAACTATTCACGTTTTTGTGCGGTTCTCTCGCGAGTCGTATAATCGGGCGTCGCCATTGCCCATTCTGGAGCTGATAAATGGCCGCGCCGCTTGCGCCGTTGGGCTGCGCGCGCTGAAGCTGACCGTGCTGGCATTGCTGAGATGTCGCTGCGGGCCAGACGAGGTAGAGAGTCGGGGGGAGTAGAGGTTGATGATGGGTTCGTCCGATTCGCCGTCATTTCCTTCTTGTTCGTTGACGGTGTGCTCGCGGACGGCCTGGCGAATGGCCTCCTCGAGCTTGCTGGCCTTGAAGAGGGTTGACCGGTACGGGATGCCGGCAATGGTCTTGTCGGTCTGGAAGACCATGCGGGTCATGCGGACGTAGAGCTCTTTGCACGTCTCGAGGTCAAGCCGCAGACGGCCGAGCATGATGGCGATTAGACCGCCGGTGCCGGTGCCGAAAATGAGGTCAAAGTGGTCGCAGGGCTTGGGGATCTCGTGGCGGCGCGGGGCGCGGCCGTGGGCCTCGACATAGGTGCGGTGCATGAGTTCCTGGACAATGATGAGCATGGAATAGCCACGGACACCACCACCGTCTGTCATATGTTAGCGAAGCTCTGCATCTTCGTGAGTTCCCGGGCATACCGAGAGACAGAATCCGCAGAGGCGGACCCTTGGTGGTGTCCTTGCGTCGGACGCCGTAAGCGTCCATGGCCGTGGTGGCGTGGCGCAGAGGCAAGTCGGTGCGCTGCTGAATGTCTCACGGGGACCGTTTCTGTTGGACTTGAAGCGGGAGAAGCGGATGAGACGTTGAGCAGGGTGTAGAGCCAGAAGAAAAAAACCCCGGGATGCGGTCTGCAAATGAACTTGGTCGGTAGCGGCGGGTGAAGTGGGCAGATGCCGAGGCGGACAAGAAATTGTGCGGTGGGTTTCGTTTCTGCAACGATCCGCGCTGTTCGCAGGTTGCGATCGGGGCCGTGCGGGCAGCTGTTGAAGACGGCCCGTACTACGGGCAGAAAGAAGCGGATAGTGGGCAACTCGAATCAGGGTCCAGTGACGCGGGCGGATGGTAGAATCGGATAACAAACCCGCGTAGCGGGACAGGAGCTGTTTGGATGAAGCTGACGAGTTTTGGACATGGCAGCCTCGCCTCGTGGCTGTGACAATGTTGAGCAGTGACGAGCAGCCACACAAGACCAATCAAACTGCCAGTGCTTGTGGGGGCTGGTGCCAAGATGCCCTGTTCGGTCATTTGGTCGATAATGGATGACGATTTGTATGATGATTTGTTCAGAGATACTTTGACCCACTCAAGTGTACCTTGTAGCCGCTAGACACACTAGAAACCGGCAAACAGCGCACTAGATGCCCCGCAAAACCAGGCCCAAGGCGCTATCCGTCCGCCGAAACTTTTCATTTCAATACTGCTACTGAGTACCTACCTAGGGCGCTAGGTACGTGGCATCGGAGAATGCGCGCCGACCGAAAGCGTACTGGTAAGACTGGGATTCTAGAATAATTCCTAGTTGGCCGATGTTACTGTAGATTTCCCAATTTTCCTTGGCCTTCTTCCCTGTCTCTTCCTGGTCCTGTGACTCTTGCGCAGTCGAGCCCAGTCACGAAACCCAATCACGGCCTTTTGCTTGATACTCAGCCACCACCGCCACTCCTACACACCTCTGTTACACCAGTCGTCCCCTACCGGTGCTCGGTACTTGAACTGTCTCATTTGGTGGCGCCCCGTTGCCAAACCTATTTTGACATGTGAATCCTGGTTCTCAAACAAAAAGGGAAAAAATCCCTGCTTTTTGAAATCCGACATTGAATTGTTGTCTCGCCACTTGAGAAGTAGAGACTTTTTGGACAGGTCGAGTCACCAGGGGCCCCTCATCACCATGTCACGTCGCAGTGTATGGCTGTGCAGCTCGTCAGCCTGCCCCATGACGTAGGGACAACGAGTCTGGTGCTCTTGCCGTCCTATAATCTGCTGCACATATATCACCGCAGACAAGGATTCCAGATGTTATATTCGTATTATCGCTCTTTTTTTCATTTATGTTTTTAAGAACGAAAATGGTCATCATATCTAGTTCGATGCAGGTTTATTTTTAAAACAAAAATATGCCACCATCTTACTCGCCGCCTGCATCGGATGCCACGGCCTTGCAGCTGCAACGCCCGCGTTTGCTGCTGGGCAGCTTTTCCGTCTCATCCTACAGCCCAACACACCGACACTGCGCCCCGGCAACTATCCTGGCAACGGCGGCGGCGTCGGCGGCGCGGCCTTAATCCATCCGGGAAAGGAAAAAAAAAACTTCACTTTGATCTTGGGCTTCAATAGTGTGGGCTTGGCCTCGCCGCCAAGAATACACAGAAGACGAGCAGGTTGCGGGACAAGGACATGCAGCAGCAATCGAACGCCAGCCCCGCGGCTACGAGGAACCACCACAACCACCACCCCCCTCCCTCTCTTCGCCTTCCTGCTTCCTGCCCCTCGCTCTGCCATCACCGAGCAAGCGGGAACAACGGCAGCTCGTATCAGCATCCTGCAGCCTCCGCCGCTCTTTTCATTTACGAGAGCGCGTGCGTTGTTGTGCCTGGCCTCAGCCTTCTCGACCGGTTCGCTTCATCCTTGCCTCGTCTGCCGGCAAAGTGGGCTTTTTTGGCTTTTTGGCTCCCGGACATATCCGCTGCCTTGCCCGGTCCGGCTGAGCTGATTTTGGCGCGAATCGCCCGACTCGTCTTGTTGGGGGTCGAGATCAAGATTCAAGATGGCGCACCATGTACACTAACTAGCTGCCGGCATTTGCGCCTTGTCTCCCCCTACATTCCCACGATTCTCCTTTTTTTTTTCTGCCTTGGGCTATTGTCCTGCTGTAAAGCCTCTCTCTAACCATGCCAGGACAACTGTCACAATTAAAGTTTACGCAGCCTGGTTGTCTTTGTCACAGCGGAAATGCGTCAGCCTTTCCCAAAATAGAACTACTAAAAAAGGGCAGGGTCAACGTAAATACTCTCTAATACAAATTACTAGTTTATTAATACGTAATTTGTCGAGCTTTTTACTTGTTACTGCAAAAAAATGCAAGCCGGCAGGGTTGTGGAACCAAGCGAGGTCGAGTGGCAATGGCATGACTGGACGACAGACATCTAAGCGACCCCAGGCGGCGGCCTCTTTGACCACCAAAGCCATGACCGTTTGCTCCATTGCCAGCTGAACACAACGGGTATCAAATCGCCACCGGAAGAAAAACACACATGTAGCTGTGCTTTCAATTCGCCAGACAGGACGGCAGCAGTGGCAACGGATGACGCGCCGCCGTCTTCGGCGTTGCGGATCATTGCATGTCTCGCAAAATTCATCGCCGCCGGTGTGGCGGTGAACACTCTGACTGGGCACCGCCGGAACGAATTAGTACGATGCAGTCGATGCCTTGTAGGGGGGAATGCAAGGGCGGCACATTTACATATGCCCAAAAAAGGGTTGATCAGCTTTGGGGGGTGCATCGATCGGTCGACGACTGTTCGTGGCCGGAACCATGGACAGCGGTGGTACGATTGTTGGCTCGTCTAATTGTTGCCTGGCGTTGCATCACCAATGTCCAGTGTACGGAGTACTGTCTTTGCGTTTTGACGTCGCTTGTAGCATTCAATCTAGGTGGAACGTTGCTTAATTTCCATGATTGACAAGTACCAGCGGACTTTGCGTAGATGGCTTATTCCCGATATAGTAAACAATCTCTTTAGTGCAGTGACATGTCTCTGTCGTAGTGTTAGTGAGGTGTCTGTATTGTTATTATGCTTACTAGCAGACGTCGACAGTAATATAGACGACAAATCAGGCTGTTGTTTCTTGTTCTATATCTGCGCAACCTCGCGTGCGTTCAATAACTCGAGATGTTGTCTCGAGAAGTTCGTTTTAGACCATCCCAGTCATGTGTTTATCGTGAGAGTCATGTGCTCTCGGCATAACTATCAAAGGATTACGCGAAGAGATTAAACAGCTCAAGTACAGGTGGCGTTGATCTATGCAGGATCATGTAGACTAGAGAATATCAAGCTCGTTTCAAATAGACGATATGAATAGAAGCATGCTGCATACTGGACCTTGAAACATGATCATCGTGCTCGCCTGACCTTGAGTGGTCGCCATCAAGTCCAAAGAGTTTCAAAACAGGAGCCCTGGTGGAATCGATGCAGCTATGGATAAACAACACTGCCAAGGTTGAGGACACGTAATAAGAGCGCCATGTGCTCAACTTTGCGTGTTCTATCAGCCACAGCTTCGCCAGCCTCGGGACACCGACAGCATTATTAAGCATGTACAGGACTAGTGCCCCGGCATATCATCTGTGCAGCAGTTGCCCTAAGCTTTGCCACAGCTCTTGGATATCCTTGAATCTTATATTGGTGATGCTTTTTTAATGCTGTGTAATTGGAAAGCGATTGGTCGTGAGTAGAGGGCGCACAAGACCAATACCATGCCCTTGCGCCAAGATTGCCTTGGCTATTGGTGGTACAGACTCTTCATAGGCTGGTGTGGTAGTTTCGCTAGCAGCCTGGCACCTAGCAGGACCCTTGTTCAAGCTCCCGGTTAGAGACGCAGTAGTAGCCTGTCGTGTGCTGCAGCCTTCAGCAGGTCAGGGCCAAAAGGAAAAAACTGTACGAGTGTGCTGCTGCAGGTACGGGCTTGAGAGGCTGATTGGTGTGGATTGTGGGTTTTTGGTGATCTCGTCTCTGGTACGACGGGATTCGCGACAAGGCCTGTCACGAGCGTCAAAGGGGCAAGCAAAATTGAAGGGGAATACAGACGCTAAATACTGGCGGAGCGGGGATCGGGGCTAAGAATTGCCACTTGAGGCCTTGGGGATAGTGATTCGTTGCAGGGAAACGCGTCCACTGGTGGTGGCCTCATGGTGGCGAGTAATGCAACGGGTGCTGGTTGGCGTTTGGGAAAATGCAGTGGTGGGCTGGAAAAGGAGGAGGCAAATGAAGGCGCGAAAAGAGGAGTGACAGTTTGATGAAAAGGGGAAAAGAAAAGAAAAGAACAGAAAAGAAAAGAACAGAAAAGAAAAGAAAGCATCGGTCATCAAAGAGAGTAAATGACAAAGAACAAGCGCGTTACAAGTCACAACGACAACTCGGTTGCGGGATGAGGGAGGAGCTGGAACATTAGTTAATACGAGGCAGAAGCGCTGGTTGGTCCGAACCACATGATTGGAAGTGTTGACGGCAAGGCTTGTTGTTGGAGGCGGAAAAGTCGGGGGTCAGTGTCAGGCTGAAGGCCAGCCCAGCGCCACCAGGGCGGCTCCAAGGTATCCGTACAAGGAAGGCTAGAGCGAATACAGCGAGGCCGCGTGCCAATGTAATTTGGGCTGATGCTGGGGGGATAAGTCCACGAGGCTGACAAGGCTTTGATGATGAGGTGGAAGAGGAGGAGGAGGACATGACCCGCCCGTGCTAGTCAGCGACAAGTTGTCGGCCGGTTTTCTGTAGACCAAGAGCCTGTGGCCGGACTGATCAGAGTCAGACGGGATGACTATAGAAAAAGAAGGAGACGCATATATGGTACGAGGCACATGCCAGAGGCAGATGGGTCTTGCAGCTCGTGTCGTGCTATCGGGCGCGTCGGGGTTTGTGTTTTTTAGGGGAACAAGGGAAGATGGGCAGTGCTAAAGATGAGACGCCAGGTGCCTCAGCGCCGGACCAGTAAGCCGTCGCCTGGGGTCAAAGACAGACACGAGACGCACACTTGATTCGTTTATCAATTATCCTGGGATTTTATTTTTATTTTTCTTTTCTTTTCTTTTGATTTTATTTTTTATTTTTATTTTTCTTGGCTTGGAAATAAAAGATGTTCCCTGCAGGGTTGGCTGCCCGGTGCTTGTTCCCCACTCGTCAAGACTCAGATAACTACCTAACTTAGTACACAATAATACTGATTCGTACAGCACAAGGTGAAATCATCAGTGATGTGGGCAGGCGATACGCTGCGTCGGGAGTTGCAAGCGGAATATGGCGTTGGAGGCAGCCCAAGCGAAGGGCGTGTTGGAATGGAGACGAAGCCAATGGGACGGGAAAAGAAGAGAACTTCGTAGGTAGTACACTAGCGCGACCAACTCAGCTGGCATGGTGCGGCGCACGGCACAGCGGGGGCAGGCGGCGGTTGGTGGTGATGATTCGTGAATGGAGGCAAGGAGAATGGCCTTGGAAAGAGTATTTCAGATGTGCAGGGGTGGGCAAAAATGTTCAGCCTGGTTCAACCAACCACTGCAGACTCACTAATTCGTAACGAAGCATGGACGAGGTAGTTATCCTTTGTTCGTCATAGCCAAGTCTAGTTGGGTATAGGGCCACGGCCAAGTGAGCTGAGCTCACGGTATACGCGCCCCTCTTTGGCTCTTTTTTTTTTTCTTCTCTCAGCGGGGAGACCCAGCAATATGAGATTTCATCAGCAAGTGCACCACGGTAAACTATCCGTACTCCGTGCGGAACACTATTTATTACATACCCGTTTAAAAAATGGGGGTAGGTACCGAGCTGGGGTTTTATTCTGTACCAGGGCCAGCTGGGCTGGACTGGGGCGTGTCAGGTATCAACAGCTGGTCTTTTTTTTTTCTTCCCACCCTGATTTCTCTCACAAGTCTTTCTTGTCATTCCTTGGTGATGGGCGATGGAGCCATGGGAAACACGGCACACACTACCATGCGCGGTTGCATGTCGACAGCCTTGTGCTTTGTGGCACATGCTGCCGGCACATGTTGGCCACCCATCCAATCCCTCCAGCCGTGTGTGCCTGCGGCTTTGTTCGCCTCGCATGCAGAATGCCACGCGGTGCCGACTTGGTGCACCCAAAATAACTAAATCTGCGACTTGTCTCCGTACTTGCGCCGTGTATTCTTGTTACTGGTGCGGTGCCCGTCAGGCCCGTCAGGTACCTACATGCCTTGGGGATATTGACCAGCTTGCAAATCACCTGGCCACGCCCCCCCTCCCCGACCCCGCTGGTATTCTAGCCCTGTTTTATTCGTACCAGGCCTTCATCATCAGGGACTTGGGGCCTGTTGGTACTGGCAGCACCTGCCTGGCTTGGCTCTACTATTGCATGTTATTAGGTATCGGCTTGTTGCTGCTAACGGTACTGGAACTACTGGCACAGCCCGCCACGGCTAATGACAGCCTTGGCCTGAAGGTAGGTACCTTAAGGTAGGTAGGTAGGTATGTAGCTACCCCATGATGGAATTTTCTTCTTCTTCTTCTTCTTCTGACACAGTGCACAGTGCCTCGTCTACCTAGTCCGGTAGTCGTTGCCTGATTTGCTAATTTGTACATTCATCCATCTTCTTGGCCACATCTTCCTTTCTTTCCCTCTTCTTTTTTTCTTTTCCGTCTTCTTCTATTTTACCCCATCTTTTTTCCTCCTCGTCTCTCTTGTCCCCCGTCCGTGCTGAGTCCTAACCGCCTGATACCTCCCTCCTCTAGGCATACACCCGCGGCTGCCCTGCCGCCACACACAATTCACACTCCCCCAGTGCGTTGCAGCCTTACCACCACACCACAAGCGACGCGCACAATCGCTCCATGCTTGCGTATTGGTACCAAGCCCAGTATTATTACACACCTCAACTGCAACCACACACCACAAACCACACACACCACTCTGCCTGGCCCTCTGTTGCTTTATTATTTGCGCCTCGTCCCTGCCCTCGTCCTCGTCTCCGTTTGCTTGGTTGTATCTTGTACCTTGCGACGGCCGCTTCTTCCCACGCCCATAACCCGGTCCTCTTGCTTGACTATTCTTTCAACTTCTTGCTTTGACTCTTCTTGTCCCTTGTTCGCTTCTTTTCCTTTCTCTTCGCCCTTTGCGTCCGTCCCGTTCTCTTTCGTCGTCCTTCGACGTCCATCGTCAACCCGCCCTTCTCTTTTTTTCTGCAATGATCTCTGCCGTCAGTCCTGCGGCCTCGTACCTCACCTAATCCCGCCGACAACACACACCACCAAAAATATATTCTTGCAGCCAACCGCTTTCCGCAACCGCCTTCGCAACCGCACCTCAGCTCGGCTCCCCGGCCTTCCGGCGCCTGCTCTCAGGCCCGAGGTCTCTTATTGACTCTTGTCAGCTCGCCATCCACCTCCCAACCCGTCTGCCCGCCCATCACGGCTGTCCTCACACCACATGGAGCCTGCCGGCAAGAGGCGCAAGCTGGCCCCAAAGCTCAATGCCTCTGCATCTTCACCTCCGGTCCCTCACTCTGCGCCCTACAATCACAAACCAGTACGTCGTGCACCTGCGCACGCCCTCCGCCTCACTAAACCGTGTACCCTTCCTTCTTTGCTCTGCGCTGCGCCCTCGTCATTTCGCGCCCCAACCCCGGCTGACTTGCTCTAGCCTCGACCCTCTCACATAGTCCCAGATGCGCCTCACCACAGCCAGCGCCACGAATTCGAGGCCTTCGCCCGCCATTTGCACGATGCCGCCATGCTCATCAACCGCCAGTCAGCCCACTCCACCACCTCTTATACGAATGTCTCGGTACTTTTGTTGGGTTGGCAAGATGATGCCGCCGCCGTAGAAAACATCCGCGCGCTGCAACAAGTCTTGGTCTCCGATTACCGCCATCACACGCAAACATGGCAGATCCCCACCGTCGCAAACCCCAGCATTAAACTGAGCATGCAGATAGCCTCGTTCCTCGAGCACGCCCGACCAGATCAGCTACTCATCATTTATTATTCTGGCCACGGCTACGTTGGTTCCGACGGCCAACTCTACTGGGCCTGGTACGTCACCTTGACAGCGAGACGCAGTTGTACCTTTCATTAAACCTCACAGCTCTGACCATGCCACAGCTCTCCCCAGGACCATTCCGCAAGGCTGAAATGGGACGGAGTTCGCTGCCTCATCGAAGAAGCTCAGTCCGATCTCCTCCTCTTGCTGGACACTTGCGCCCTCCCCGATCCCAGCCCTTCCGGTCACGGTCTTAAGCAGGTCATTGCCGCCTGCTCCCCAGAAACCTCCCGAAATCCTTCGCCCGCGTCTCGTGCCTACTTCTCTCCATGTTTAACCGCAGCTCTACGTCAGCTAAGTCGCGCCACGTCCTTCTCCGCCCAGCAGCTTTGCCAGGAGATAAGGGCTGCCTCCCAAGCAAACTCCAACTCTTCGCCTCGATTCCCGCCGCCTGCATTCGAACCTCTGTTCTTCAGCATGACGCCTGACCAAGGCAAGAGTATACAGCTTGCACCGTTGTCAGAATCCCCATCCAATGCCGCCGCGCCAGAAACGACCCGGCCCCGAGATGGTCTGAGCCCAAGTCCAGGCCCGAAACTAACTTTCAACGAAGCTCGCATTCTAGTTTGCACGACCTTTGTCGGTGATGCGAGCCCAGATATGTCCGCGTTTCACAGCTGGCTACGGAATACACCACCGTTGGCTGCCCAAATAACGGTCGAGGGCATGTTTTTGGGTCCTCCGACAGTCCTGCTTATCTCAATGCCCACAGCTCTTTGGGCTAGTGTTCAGCATGACAAGATCTGGTACTATCTGGGCACCATCACCTCGCGCAACATGGTTTCTCTCTACGACAAGATGGTAGGCGCGCCTAACATCAACGCAATCACTGAGAGCACGGCAACAACGGCTGCCTCCGAGTCCACTCCGACAAGCGCACATACTCGTTCGACACTGGGTGCTCCGTGGCCTCAGTCCGGATATGCTGCCAACGACGAGCAGCCAGATGGGCAAACGAGCCCAACTGCTAGAATTTACCAATCCCTGGCCGCCGGCGGACTGGGCATCAAGCCACCAAAGACTCACGCCCCAGAGTCTGCGGAAATGCAGGAAGCTGCCGAGCAGCTCAAGGCCCTCAGTCATGTCCGCCACCGAAGCGGCGACGCTGCCAACACTTCTCCCCAGCGCGCCGCCTTGCCCGTTGCTATGCCAACCCTCCACCCTGGTTTCCGAAACCTGACTCGTTCAGAGTCGATGCCTGTGCTGGATAGTGGCACGGGATCCGCGGGGGCTAGGATGAGACGCATGCTTGGAAAGCCCGACATTCGATGTGCGCACTGCAGTCATGCCCCGTTCAAGGATGCGTCTTCTTTGAGAAAGCATGTTGCCGCCGCGCACACACGCCCCTTTCCTTGCGCATTCTACTTTGCAGGATGTACTAGCACCTTTGGATCTAAGAATGAGTGGAAACGCCATATTGCCTCGCAGCACCTTTGCTTACAGTATTATCGCTGCTCCATCTGCTTACAAACTACGGTAGACGGAAAGGGCAACGAATTTAATCGCAAGGATCTATTCACGCAACACCTACGACGCATGCACGCACCTTTCGAGGTTAAGAGAGCCCTCGCCAAAGGTGATAACGGTCAACAAGCACCGTCAGAATGGGAGAGCTACGTCCGGGAAATGCAGCAGACCTGCCTCATACAGCGAAAGCATCCGCCGCAGCGATCAAGCTGCCCGAAACCCGGCTGTGTGAACACCTTCGAAGGTCCGACTGCCTGGGACGAATGGACAGAGCACGTCGGTCGGCACATGGAAAAGGGCGAAGGCGACAATCTCGGAGTAGACGACTTGCTCCTGCGGTATGCCCTTGACGAAGGCATCATTGAGCGTGTCGGCGATAACGCATACAAGCTTTGTCAGGTTCTCGGCAGCGGCGGCACACCTAGCCAGCCGGTGAGCCAGGCCATGTCGGAAACACACGAGTCTCAAGCCCTGTCCACGCAAAGCTCGGCACCGCCACCACCAGACGAGTCACAGCCGTGGGGTGCCCGTTCTCTTCCGCCGCTTCCTGCACATCCGCTGCATCCACCACACGATCGAAACCCGAATCCGAACCAGCCAGAGTGATTTCGGTCTTGTCGCCACCGCGAATTGCCGAAGTCGCGTTTTGGCGATTTGTCGTATTTACAAAAATCTCTTTTAAACGCCAAAAATGTTTTCCTCTTTCCCCACATTGCATATCTCATTCACTGTACGCTTATCATGGGCTGGAACTTTTTGTCGAATCGTATTTATCGCTGTCATAGCGCATTTACACCGGAGTCGTTGGGAAAGATTTTGTTGGGTTTTTTTGGGGATTGGATATCCTCTTTCTTTTCATTTTCGTCTTCATCTTCGTCGTCTTCTTCCTCTTCTTCGTCTTTTTCTTTTTCTTCTTCTTCTTCTTCTTCTTTCTACACATATACTGGAGCAACCTGGCGTTGCCGTATCGATTATTAGTCTACTCATTTACCTACAATCATGTCCATACGGACTTGAGTGCCTACACGCACCACCCTCATCACAAACTAGACGCATTACCTGCACATTTGGTACTTGACACTCATTCCCATGCAAAGACGTCTATGTATTTGTTATTTCAAATGTTGATCGTACTCGCCACGTTGAGCGAAATGTCCACATTGACCGACCGGCTCCTCCTACCGTCTTCGGACGCACCTGCTACTGCTGCGTGCTTCGTCTTGCATCCTTCACCCAACACCGTCACTTTAGTAATGCGCGGGAGTGCGTCCACAGCAAACGTGCCGCTAATACTCAGCACGCCCTTTTCATACTTGAACTGGACGTCGGTCACACCGCCCGGCTTCTGCGTCACCGACACGCCGTCGTCGACATACAGCTCGCCAGCCGCGGTACCGTTCTCGTCCAGCGGCACGAGCAGCTCAAAATCTTGCTTGCGTAGCTCCGTCGTGGTATTGGCCGACTTGACGCGCAGCGGGATGACAACGCCGCCGCGGATGAGCAGCGGAATAGTAGTCACGTCGACATCGGCAAATGTGTGCGTGCGGCCGCCGCGGATCACCTGGTGCGTGTACCAGTCGTAGTATTTATCCTCGGGGAGGTACACGTCGACGCTGGTGGCGCCCTCTTCCGTGACGGGCGCGACCATGATGGCCGGACCGTAGAAGTACTGCAGCTCGAGCGCCCACGCGGCCTGATCCGCGGGGTAGTGGTAAAAGACGGGCGCGATGCTCGGCGTGCCGTCCTCGCTGGCGCGCTGCATGGCGGTGTAAAAGTAGTCCATCAGCCTGTACCGGATATCAATCGCCTTCTTGGCCGCCGCCGTCACGCTCTCCCAGCGGTAAAACTCCTGTCCCGGCGTGCCGTACTCGTTGTGGTTGCGGTAGAAGCTGTAAAACGCGCCCAGGCTGGCCCAGCGCGCGCACAGCTCCTCGGTCGCGGTGCCCGCGAAGCCGCACACGTCGGAGCCCACCATGTTGAACTGGAAGAGCGCGGTAAAGGCGAGCATGCCGCGGATGGACTCGCGGTACTTTTGCCACGTCGAGACGTTGTCGCCCAGCCAGTGGCCGACTGTGCGGCCGGCGCCGGCAAAGGTGCTCCGGGTGATGATGAGCGGCCGCAGGCCCGGGCGGCGCGCGAGCATGGCGGCGTGCGAGGCCGTGGACATGAGGGCGCCGTACATGTTGTGCGTGTCGTACATGCTGAGCCCGTTTTGGTGCCGCACGTCGGTGTTGACGGTGTGGTTGGAGAGCCCGCCGCGGTCCGCGTTCCAGTCGTCCCGGTACGCGGCCTTGTTGTGGATGGCGTACTTGGGGAACAGCAGGTCCCGGCCGGGCAGGCCTTTTTGGTCACCGCCGGCGGCGCGCGCGGGGAGGATCAGGCGGTCGGTGTTGACAAACGGCGCGACGTTGCGGTTGCTTGTCTGGACGAGGATGGTGCCGGCGGCGTCGCGCTTGCTGGTGCAGCCGCCGGTCTGGAACTCGCACGGCCAGCCGGGCAGCGAGCGCGGCGTGGCGCGCACGGGCGGCGCGGGCGGCGGATAGCCCTCGGCGGCCGCGTACGGGTCGTCGCAGGGAAAGTTGCAGGGAAAGTTGCTGGGCTCGTTCATGTCGATCCAGAGGGCGTCAATGTCCACGCCGTCGTCCTTGTCAAAGAAGAGCCTGAACTCGTTTGTCCAGTAGCTGTCGGCCGTCTCGGCGAACCAGTCCGGGAAGACGGCGACGCCGGGCCACACGACGCCGACCCAGGCGGAGCCGTTGGCGCGGAGCAGAAACGCGTTTTGCTCGAGGCCGCGGCGCAGTGGCGGGTAGTCCTGGTAGGCGACGGCGGGGTCGACCATGACGACGTAGTGCTGGTCGCGGCCGTGCAGGTGGGTGACGAGGGCGCGCATGGTGGCGAGGGGGTACCGCTCCGGGTCGAGGGAGAAGACGCGGCGGCGGTCCATGTAGTCAATGTCGGTCCACATGGTCTCGAGCGGGATGCCGGCGGCGCTGTAGTTGTGCACGACCTCGGCGACCTCGAACGCGTCCTGGTAGCCGTAGCGGCAGTTGTGGTAGCCCAGGCCCCAGTACGGCGGCATGGCGGGCGTGCCGGCCAGGGCGCCGTACTGCCTCGCCACGTCGACGGGCTGCGGGCCGGCAAAGAAGTACAAGTCGAGCACGCCGCCGAGCGTGTTGTACTCGAGGTACTGCTGCCCGGTGGCGGGGTTCTGGTCCACGACAATGTCCATGCCGTTGGAGTTGAGCAGCAGCACGCCGTGGGCGCCGCCGGCCGCGCGCTGCTCCAGGTAGAACGGGTGCGCGCCGTACAGGTTGGCGCCGTTGGGGATGCCGAAGCTGTCCTGGTTCCAGAGCGTGCGGACGTACGCCGTCGTGTTGAGCCGGAACGGGTCCGAGTGCTCGCCGAGGCCGTACAGGTACGGGTCGGCGGGCAGGGCGGTGCGCAGGCGCAGGTACTGCGTCTCAAAGACGAGCGCCGCCGCGGCCGTGTCGAACAGCACCTCGCCGGTGTCGCGCCGCGCGACGGCAAAGGAAAAGGGCGCGGTCGTGTGGGTGAAGCGCAGCTGGCTGGCCGAGGCGCGCGAGGTGGACGAGGACCGCGCAAAGACGGACGAGGGCACCTGGTACACTTGGTTGGCGGCATCCTGGATCTTGACGTGCAGGCGGTTGTCTGGGGGGGGGGGGGGAGTTAGCAATGGCTTGGCTGCAGAGGGGAGTCTGGGGGCTTTTACCGGTCTCGTAGGTGACTTGGAGGACGAGGTCCTGGATATCGTCGCCGTAGACGTTGCAGGCGGTGCCGGCGAGGGACAGGGACGCCGTCAGCCCCGAGTCGGTGATCTGCACGTTGGAGGCTGTATACCCCGGGCACTTGTCGAGGATGCCGGTGTCTGCGCGGGCCATGACGCCGGCCGCAGAGGCCAGCCCCGGTAGGATCAAGGTTCCCCAGAGTCTCATTGTCAAGAAGTTGGCTTGGGGTGAGGAGGAGGAGGAGGGACAAGAAGCGGAGGGGGGAATGTCTTATAGGTATCCCGTTTAACACACCGGCGAGCGAGAAAACAGGGAACCCGGTCCGGTAATTAATAGTCCCCCCTCCCCCCTCCCCCTGTTGAGAGACAGAAGCTGGGACCTGGTCAATCAAGGCACGAACCTGCAGCGACGAACCCATGGAGCAAACGCCCCCGCGAAAGAGCGGAGACGGCCGTCATGCAGCTCAGTTGGTGAGTGGGGGCGGGCCATCTCGTCGATGAAAAATTAATAGAGGCTTGCATGGATCGAAGGCCGGACAAGTAGTAGTGAAGGCTAGTCTTTTGTACGTAGACGAGACGTGCTAAAAAAAATTGGCATTGCTCATCGTGTGTTGCATGACGTTGTAGCCAAGAAATGCCCTTTTTTATTTTTTGGCTGTGATCTAAAGCTTCGGCGTGGAAAAGCCGCATCGAATGGGGGCGTTGTACGAGGCGTTTTGGTTTACTGGTAGGCAGTTACCCCAGACTCCCCTTGATGTATGCCGACCTGCATATATGTTTTTATTCCTTCTCCATTTGACCAGTCCGTGACAGCGGGACACCTCGCCAGATCCTCTACCAGTTTCGCAACCCTTGTTACTACCAACTCTCCTTCCGGCCGGTCACCAATCCTGAAGACACAGATGACGGGATGTGCTTTGTAGGGTTTGTAGAGGATAAGTGGGGTCCATTTTTTTATTTTACTTGAATACTTTAAAAACTCAGAATCCCTTCGTTATTTAGGATTACATCGGCCGTCAATATTATCGTCGGAATGGGAGAGCTACGTCCGGGAAATTCTTTTTATTTTTTTTATTTTTTTGCGTTTTATAACTTCGCTCTTTACACTACTGCAGACACCTTGTCTCCGTCGGGCGTGTAAGAGGGCGGCGGCGCCGACGGCCGAGCAGACCCAACAGGGCTTCCCGCATTTGCCTCCCGCATAAGATATTCCCAAACATGCAATTCCGCATGTCCTGCGAATCCACCGAGAGCCAGCAAGACATGGCACAGGTTGCTCGAGCTCCCTACTGTCGCAGCGCAGATGCCAACACAAATGCCGGCGACCATGAGCACAAGGCAGCTACACAACATGGAATGGAAATTCAGTTCCCTGGTCCGCGAAGCCTGAGTCGTTGCGCGGTCCTGGATGATCCGAAGAGCAAGTGCCGAGACGTGGCCGAGAGCGACCACAATGATGAGAGCAAGACTCTCCAAGGACACGCCTATAAAGAGAAACCACACGAATGAATTAGAATGCTGATCACGGTAGAGCAGAAGAGGAAAAACTTACCATTCTTGGTATTGGGGGAGGGAGGGAGCATCGTCTGGTTTTGCATCTTGCCTTGGGCGACGGAGGGTAAACGGAGCGTAGCAAGAAGAGATTTGCAGTGCTTAAAGGCGGCCAAGAATGGAATGATGAAGAGAGCAAGGGGCGCGGGCGTGGGGTCTGCCAGAAACCGCAACAAAAATTTGTGCGTTCAGCCACCACTGCCTGGGCTGAGACTAAGCATCATGACCGACCAACAAGTAGGTTCGATAAAGTTGACCACATTCTAGCGCCACATCCATTTCTTCCTGGGGGGGTACAACAGGAGGCCCTCCGAGGAGAGTTTATGCGGGTGAAGAGAAAGAACCGGCCTGCACGAATAAAAAAAGGACTTAAAGGAAGGAACAAAATTATTAGAATAGAGAAGATGGGAGTATTTATGAGAATGGTACAAACAAGCAAAATGATGGTATAATAGAGTTCTGACGGGTGGTTTACTAGGTACACTGTTACTCCGCTAAGGTATAAACCGCAGCCTTTTCTTCCATCCTACAGCCAGGTTTATACGTCGTCGTCGCCTGTGCGTCTCGGTCGTAATTCGGCGTAACCTAGCACTATTTTCACAAAAAAAAAAACCCCCCATTAGCAACCGTCCATACTCCAACATTCTATCTAGGGTAATTGGGGCTTGGGGCTTGGGGCCTGGGGCTGTTGTGCGGAGAAAGGCTTTCGTCAATCTGCGAGATGGTGGAGACGGGCCGCTTGGTGGCGCTGGTGCCCCCACATTGCTGGCTCGTCGGCCCGACACGCTTAATGTTTAGGGTAATGGCTGTTTAAACAACGCACAATTGGCGGCTTGCAGAATGAAACACACACCAACATTCTTCATCATGTCAATAAAATTCGGTACACAATACAAAGTAAAAAACTAAATCGAGGACGCGCCCCTTCTCCAGGATAAACACGTAATGCCCAATACCCACGTATACACAACCATGCAAGCCTCTCATGTCATACCATGCTCATCCGTCTTCTCAAGCAATTTCAGTCGTCTTCTCAACATTCTCGACATTCTCCCCCTGAGCCTTCTCGGCGCCCTGGGCGGCAATGCTGGCGCGTTGCTGCCAACTCTCAGTCGGGCGCCACGACGTCGACTTGGGCGCAAACTTGACATCTGTGTAAAGCTGGTCCACTTCCTCCAGGGTCAGATTCTTTGTCTCGTAAATGAACATGTAGACAAATGCAATGCAAAGGAAACAAGCTCCAAACCAGATGAAGAAGATCTTCGACTGCAAATTGGCATTTCCCACGCCATAGTTGACCAGATACGGCGTCGAAAAGGCAATCGCCCAGTTGAGCAGCCAGTTGCTCGCCGTCGTGATACTGATTGACTTTGCACGCGTCTGCAGAGGAAAGATTTCTCCTGTCACCACCCATGCCAGGGGGCCCCACGTAGATGCAAAAAAGAAAATGTAGATGCACACAAAGGCTACAGCTGCCTTTTGCCCGGCATCATTGGTTGAGAAAATAGACCCATCCGAGTTCTGGCCTGTCGAAAACGTGCCGCACATGCCAACAATAAATTGCGAAATGCACATGCCAATCGCACCAAACAGAAGCAGAGGACGACGACCCCACTTATCTGTAGCATACAGACCAGGCACTGTCGAAATAACATTGATGGCCGATGTAATCATCTGAATAACGAAGGGATTCTTAATCCCTGAGTTTTCAAAGTATTTTGTACCATAGTAGAAGATAAAGTTGATACCGGTCAGCTGTTGCAACCCCTGCAAAGCACATCCCGTCAACTGTCTCTTCAGGACTGGTGACCGGAAGCAATCAAGATACGAAGTCCCAGCCCCAAGACGCATTTCGTAGTCGTGGTTGGCCTTGATTTCGTGCAGTTCTTCAGCAATAGCGGGATGGTCCGCGGGAAGACGTCGGATTCTGCCGAGAGCCTTGGCAGCTTTTTCGAGCTTGTTGGCACGGATCAGATAACGCGGTGTTTCGGGGAGAAGAATCATTCCGACGAGCAGGATCAGCGACCACGCAAATTGAACGGCGATTGGGATTCGGTAGCTTCCGCTGTCGTTGCGCTGGGCTGTCGCATTGTCCACGACGGCCGCAAGCAACAGACCAATCGTGATGGCGAGCTGGTACGCACCAACAATGGCACCACGTATCCATTTCGGGGCTGTCTCGGACTGATACAGGGGGACTACAATAAAAGATTAGCAACTCGATGAGATGGACCGCGGTGTGGGCAACAACGTACTAAGCGCAGAGATCAAGCCAACTCCAAAACCAGCGAAGAAACGACCAGCGAGAAACATGGGAATAGCCGTGGCAGCAGTTTGGAGAACGACACCCAAATTGAAGACCCAAGTAGAAATTATGAGACCAGGACGACGTCCGAGATAATCGGCGAGGAACGGCGAGGCGAGCGCGCCGAAAAAGGTACCAGCAGACAGGATGGAGACAATGGCAGACTCTTCAGAGGTAGTAATGTTGGGCCCCTTGCTATCAGAAAAGCCTGTGCTAAATTGCGTTTTCCAGTATGGCATAACAATAATACCACTAATAGTGCCCGTATCGTAGCTGCATCTAATGTTAGCTCATGTCAGGTGAATAGGGTGCACATCATCGTTACCCAAAAAGAACACCACCAAAGGCGACAAAGAAGCCCATAGCAATTGCCGGCCATGCTTTGCCGGCCTCATTCTCCGGCTTGGAGAGGGAGGCCCTGCGCAAGAAGCCCATGATTGCGGTCGAGGAGGAGAGGGGTATAACTGATACTTGTAGGAGCCGGCGCGTATAGGTTGTAGGACGACGGATGCTATCAACGAAACGAGGTTTTCATAGGTAGATAGGAAAGTTAGAAATTCCGCGAGAGAGGATATATGCATGTTGACGGACGCGTGAGATGGGGCGAGCTTATTATTTATGTATACTGGTATACCAGGAGACTGAACCACGGGCAGGGAAGGCTCAACTGGGGAACTGGGGCGAGGCTAGGTGATCGTCATGTCGCTAGCTCTGTACGGAAAGAAAGCTCGGGCCCATCAAAGACAACTCGTCGAAGCTGCGATCATTTTTAGTTTGGAGCGGTTGCCGCGAGAGGTAGACTAATAATATTTGCCGTCATCATGGCCTCCACCACACCATCTCGGGCTGGGCGAGTCAATGCAAGCGGCGCTGGGGAACTGGTGGCTATTCTTTAGTTTCGGCCAAGTCTTTGCAGTCGACAAAGTACTCTGACTTGCAAGTATTGGTCTGACGCGTCGTACATGTGCTTCTGTGGCGCCTGCTGTCTAAGATGACGCTCGACGGTGGTGAGCTCCAAGGTTCCGGAGCTTGCTTTTTTCTCTACAGGTAGTAACGGTAGAGGGTTGATTGGGTCAGAGCCCTGAGCGCTGCAGAGAGACGAGGAACAGCAAGAATGCTGTTTATGGAGGATGAATGATGCGGGTTTTGCGAATTCGATGTATGGTGTTGAGGCGTTTGCTGACCGACAACTTGCTAGCTGCCCGCAATAGCCGGGCCGACAGCCTCTCTTCCCGTCATCACTCGCACACCTCGAAATCGCCGACTTGTGTAGTCTCAATTACATGATCCCATTAATCGGCATCCGTTTGAGGTTTAAGTTTCTTCTAAGCTACATCCAGTCCATTCTTTTTGCCACGAGTAAATGATTTCCTTGCCACGAGTAAATGCGATTTCCTTGCCATTGAAAAGGCCAAGGCCGGGTGGCTGACACTAATCTGCAGCCTAAAAAGCGCCGCCGCGGTAATTGATTATGCCCATCACCGAGAGGCTTTTGAAAAGTAAAAGCCGCCCGTGCGAGAAGCTTTCTCTACTCTGCGCCATTGTCAGCTGGGCGGTGATCGTCACGCTGGCTCGGGGACCCCTGCTTCCCCGCGAAAGGGCCGATAGAAAGCTTGTCCCCAACGGCCAAGACATCTGTGCTTGTTGTCAATTCTCCGCGTCGACTGTCAAAGCGACTGAGACGTGGAGCAATTAGTTGATTAACTCCAGGCCAGGAATCCCGCTATTTCAATTGGCTCAAAAGATCAAACACACCGTCCGGAACGTCGATCACACAACAAGAGGAACTCTGTTGTTTGTATAGCAGCATGGCTGGGCCTGTAAACCTCTGGCTACAAAATGCAACAAGTACCAATTGAACGTGTCGGTCTGACATATCAAATCTGGGATTTGCGATCGCTTGGCTACGCCTCTCGCCTCGGCCGTATTGAGTCATGGCCCAGTACTTCAGCCTCTTTGTACCATCCCACGATCCCAGTCGCCGGAAAAAAAATCACCGGCAAATTTCACTGATAATACTATCATGCTTTTATATACTTTAACCGCTAGTCTGAGCAACTTGGACAGCGTAGAAATTGCGTTTGAGAAAGCCTTCCAAGATGGTCCATCTATAAAGGACCTAGGAGCTCTGGGAACCTAGAGCGAGGTATTGAAAAGGGCGTTAAGATATCGCATCGAAGAGTCAGACTCGCCTACCACCGCCCAAGAGTCTTGAGCCCAAGCGAAGCCGTATCGATAGAATATTCCAACCGTCCTTGCCACTTCGATTGCCTGTCTATCCGAGGTCGACCCAACTTCCTCGTTGAAGACCTGCCAGAATAAGGAAACGAGCGCCTCGCGGTTGTCGTAATAGTGCCAGCCCTCAGAGTCCATATTTCCAAGCACATTCTCGAGCCCCCAGAGAGAAAAGCCGAATGGGAGGATACGGGCCTCCTCCCAGTCGATGACACCTGTAATGTGGCCGGTATGACGATCGACGAGGACATTCATCTCACAGAGGTCGTTATGGCTAAGAACGAGAGGATATGGCGATGAGAATAGTGAAGGAAGCTTTTCGCCGAGGAAGATTAGCTTGTCAGTAAAGCGGGAGGGCAAGGCATCGGCCAGAACACCGATCCTTTGTCGGAATTCAGTGAGGAGGTCTCCAATAGCACATGTTTCCATTGCCTGCGGATTCCGCCAAGAGTAGGCGAAGAATCTGTCCATCAGTCTTGGCTCCGTATAAAGCAGCATCGTGGAAGAAGAGGAGCAACCTGGCAAAGTCGGCTACAGTGTTCATGACTCGAGATGTTGCTGCAGGGGACATCGGACTGCTAGGGCTGAGTCCTCGCAGTTTTTCCAGACAATAGGGGACTCCAGGAAGCTTTTCCATGAGATAAACGGGTAGCGGCATCGGGTGGCCAATGGCTCCCTGGTACACGCATTCGGGCACAATAGGCCCATGCGTATCTCGTGCAAGCAACAGGAGCTCCATGTCGAGGAGCGATGAGGGTGCTCGGAATTGGACGATGGACCACCTCGGTCCTGCTGTCACCGTGTAGCTCCACATACCCTGAATTGGTTCAGGAGTAACGGGTTCGCCAGCGACCGAGGCAGCGTATTGATCGCATTGCTCTCGTGTTGCAGAAGTGTAAGTTTGGAAGAATTTGCTGATATCATTCTCCAGAGCGTAATACTCAATATCGGAGGCCATGTTTGGCAGTATTATAGCGATTTATAATTTGATGGGTTGAGGAGGAGACGTGGAGGAAGAGTAGCTGCGACGCTTCGGATTGAATTATATTTCTGAAGGATTTTGTCGCCTTCGCAGCTTGGAAGCGCCCGCGCAAGCCAAGCTGTTAGGTAAGCTACAACGCGCTGCCCCTGTCCCAGCTATTACCAATTCATCACAGTAGCCGTCGAATTCAATCTGGCACAGTAGCCGTCGAGGTCAGTCTGGCTACAATAATACATCCATGTCTCTGTCCATCCAAAATCAGAGGCACAGCTCGTAACGCAATATCAAAGGGGCTACTCGGACGCAGCATCACCCGCCATGTCTCCCCATCGAGCCGCGAACACGGCAACACGGCATCCCGACCGAGGTCATTGTCAAAACTGTCGGACCGCTGAATAATTTTGCAGACGCTAGGATGTCAGCGGGTGCGCTCACAAGTTCAAGGTGGCCATCAGCGCCATGGATACCGACACCGGCGAAGTCGACCCCCAACGCCCCAGCGTGCTTAGGCTTATGAGGCCACTCGACGTGGAGCGGCCATTATCGAGGCGAAGCCATGGATTGGATACAACGGCAGGACATCCTTTACCAATTTCCTGCTATGGGATCTGGTTGAAGACCCTACGGTCACCTGCTACCACGACAATGCGCACCACCACCAACTCGACACCCATCTGGTCAAAAATATCGCTTCCCGGTTGCTGTTCCGGCAGCTACATGACCACGTTCAAATGCTCCATCACCCTTGAGCCTTCACCATCATGCACGGGACACGGGATTATATACAGCGCTACTGTAGCGACGTCGGATAAAGGGTGCACATGCCCCTATATCTCCGTTTTACTTTCTGTTTGTCACGGTCTGATTGTGTGGAAGAATGGTTCAGAGCAATGATCATTAAACTGCGAAAACAGACGAACGCTACCCTGGAAATAGTGACCAGGACTGCTTGCTATGGAGACTGAGAACAACGACAAAGAACTAGACGGGACGCGATAATTTTACGGCCGACGGCCGCATGTACCAGAGTCCGAGCTGAACCGACTCATTGCCACCAGCGCTTTTTGTTGAGCCTGTCAAAGTTGTTCCAGGCGGAATTGCGAGCCTCGCGGGCGGTGAATTTGTTCCACCGTTTGTTACCGGTGGCATGCTCGATGAAGTAATGGTTCGTGCCGGGTGAATAGCCTACCCGCCACGGCACCGCCAAATCTCGCTTCTCGGGCCCTCCTCCGCAGCTGCCCTTGAGATGATCATCCGGCGCACTGTTCAACGCCAACGAAAACAAGTTCTGCGACTCGGTATAGTCTGTTACAAACTTGGTGTGAAAGATGAGGTAAAGTAAACACAGCAGGTTGAGAAAACACATGAGACCCAAGATGGAATAGAATCCAGCCTGCCAGCTGTGGATGTGGCTAGACGTATACTCTTGCGTGATTACCGAGGCCTGGAAGGCTTGGAGAACACCAGGGGCGGCCATGATATTGTCCGGCACACTGTAATTCCAGAAATGGACAAACGGCGTATCCACGGAGCCGAGCACAAGCGTACAGCTGGCAAACACAGCCAGGGCCTCCGCTATAGAAGGAAGGTACGACGGCAATGAGGGAGTCTTGAGAGCCAGCTGCGTCAGGATGCGCGAATTGGCAGCTTTGCTGCCGCGCTCGCCGCCATTCAAGTCGGACGCGGTTCGCCATTGGTCACCAAGCGCCTGTCGCCAAGTTAGTCTGCAGTTTCGCTGGACGGGTTCGATTGTTCACTTGCCTTCCAATCTGCTTGCGGGGGTGGCCAGGCCTGGTCAGCCGGAAAAGAGCGCAAATAGCTATTAGCATCGCTGCGGTCTTCGCAATGGGCTTCCATCCGACTTCCACTGATTCCGGAAATGTTGAACCGCGTCGAACACTTCGGAGAAACCCACGACCGAAGTTCACACAGTGTGTAATTCGCAAATAAGGGACGCTTGCCCAAGATGTAAACCGCATCAGGCGACTTTAAGCCAGTGTCTATCACCGTGCTGTAGTCGCTTGGATACTAAGGCGCTGGTTACTAGTGAAATACTTCAAGATCAAGTCTCAACTCACTAATCGGAAGAACGGTGCTCTTCGTTCATACTTGGCCCCCCAGCGAAAGATGTCATCCACGACCGTCTTGTTCCGCCAATTGGGCTTTCCACTGCTGTCGCTATCGGGAGGTACCTCAGATGTCCAATTCTCCCACCCCGTCTTCTGCTTTCCGTCATTGGTAAGGTTTGTTTTTGCGTTGGGCCACTCTGTGTAGATCAGCGGCTTCAGTTCGTCCGGCGCCATGTTGACGCACAGTACATTTATGGCCGGAGATACGACGCCTGCTCTGACGGAATATTCTCCCACGCCGCCGAGGTGTCGTGGTTGCAGGATTTTGTTTTGGGGCGAGATCGCTGCAAAAGCGACGCCAGGGTGAGGCATGGCTAGAGTGACATTGTTGATGATCCGGCCCGTTTTTTCAAAATGCGCCGTCACGTTGCTATGCTCCGTCTCAATCCAAGATCCCTGAAGTGTCGTGGTGCCGTTCAGGGTCGCTTTTCCAGGCGGTCTGTCGTTTATATATATATTATTCGAGGACCCATTCGTGTTGATGTCGGTCCAGACACCCATGAAGGCTTGCAGATTCCGGTATGATTCTCCAGATACCATCACATCACTGCACGATCTCGGTGACTCTACCGCGTCCTCTGACTTCAGCATGGTTCGACACGAATCGGACATAAACTTGTAGTTGGCGTATGAGGAACGGACATAGCCCGACATTTCCCTGTGCTCCCAACTCCCGAACTTTAGCTTTGGTGTTACCATTGCGTCGGAGGCTGTCGTGTAGAATGTGGCGACCAATGCCGCTAGTATGGTAAGTATGCCGAGGCTGCTCCGTAACGCATGCTTCATATTGGTCCAATGTGCCACCAATGATCCAGGTTGAATAACCCAGCTCCGCATCGACATATCTGTCAATGTCATGCCTCCCGACCTTTGAGAAATGGCCCTTCGTGTGAGAGTCTGGCCAAGAACGGTGATATAGCTCGCGGCAAAAGTCAATTCGATCGTCTTGGAAAGAAACGCGGCCAGCAGAGTCGCTGTCGATGGGCTCAGCTTTCCATCTGAAGATACATGTTGACCATATCGCGGCTGTTTAATGGACAGGTAGAGCCAAAGGACACTCAGACCAGTCGAAAGCAACGAGAAGATGAAGGCAGCGATGACAGGTGCTGAAAAGCGTCGCTTCTCGACATCTTTTCGTGAAGAGCAACGCCCTAGGCCGTTATCTTGAATAATGGTCAGCATCAATCGAAGTATCTCTGGTATAGGCAGCTTACCGCAACCTGAATATGGAGAGTATGAATCACTCTCGCAGGCAGTCTCTTCGGCTCGTACAGGACATGTAGCTCCATCTATTGGTTGCATGTCCGTTGTCAGACAATCGCGGCTACTCTTCTTGTGACCGAGGCTCTTGTAACTGGATCTCCAGAAACGTCCCCAGCGAGAGACGCTCTGGGGCGAGTATCCCCCCACCAAAGTTTCATCTGGTGATGCCATCCCGCTCATTGTTCCCATCTGCGTCAAGTCCGAAACCGACGGTCTGTTTGTAGCAGATTCTGCGTCCACAACAACTGGTAGGCGACGAATGTTGGATTGGTTGTTCTGGTGAGAAAGACCGAGTGGATTATTGTGATATGAGTCTTGGAGATTGAATTTGCCATGGTGAGGGCTAGAGTTGGGGGATGGGGCAATGTCGGGGTCCGTGTCTTTGCATGGAACCTCGTGTTGCCGCCCATAGGGTTCGCTCTCGCGCGTACCTTCCGGGCCACCCCGATTGAATGAGAGATTGGACAAGAGGTGTGGCCCGTCCCCAAGGTCGTCAAAGTTCATTGTCGACGACACGGGGGAGATCCACGACCGGTCTTGATCATTGTCCGGAGAGGAAGGGCCCTGCGGCGCTTTATGATAAGACATGGTTGCTTCCAGAACGAGTAGCCGTACAGCAGAATGGATTGGCCGAGTGAAAGCAGCCGGCACAGCACAGCTCGCCCGAGGTTGTCTCAGCAGTGGAATCGGGGTTCGTATAAAAGCCGGACGAATAGGAAACTACCATCGAAAAGCAAGTAAAAACAAATAACGAGATGGTAGAGATGGCCTTTGTGCTCTCAGTGTTTCTTGAATAAGGACAGGAGGTGTATAATTTCAGTGTGGGATAGTGAGGAGGAATGATCAAAGAGAAGATCCCACGAAACAGCCATCTGCTCTAGATATACCTGGATCCAGACAATATGCGACAGCCATCGTACCCAAAAAGGATAGGCAGGTAAGGACGAATAATTGCATCTGCTAGAATCGCACATCACAATTTACAGCTCCGCTGCATCATGCAGCCCCCAGCCTTGAACCCGACCGGCGATCGCCCAGCCTGACGGAAGCAGAGCAGATAGATAACGTCGAGCAGCAGAATATCGAATCAGCGCGAGCGTGTGATATTGGTGCGGGCCCCCACGGTCGCACATGAGGCGCCTTCCCGCGATGCAGCCATGCAGCCATGCAGCCAATTGATGCATGTTCCATGCAGTTGGGGCTGCCTCCCATTGGCCTGCATGTCCGGCTGAAATGTGCTTGCGTTTGGGCTGGGGGCGATGGACCGAACTAGACATATGCGGGCTGCGACGAGGCTGCGTAAGATAGACACGAGAACACTCGCTGACAGGTCGAGTTTGCTAAAATTATCCCGCCGACAGGCATTGTGCGGCCGCCTTCTACGCGGCAGCTCCCAAGACACCTGGTGGCTGGGTCCCGTGTGACGGCCTACGCCGGATGCAAGCTCCATCACCTAGAATATGCACTCGAGGAGTCCTTCTGTCACCGAGGCGCATCTCCTATCCCAAATATAGAAACGGTTCGCTCTTGCCTCGTGCCCCAGGGAAGGAGTTGTTGGATGTGTTACCGCTAGTCCCGCGGACAAAAACTCATCGCTGCAAGACACCCTGTACACGAACGCGGGACAAGAGAGATAGATTTCGAAAGGATCGTAGATATTGACTCATCTCATAACCATTATAGAACATGACCCCACATACACGCCTGAAAACGAACAAGATTGACAAAAAAAGACAAAAAAGTCAGAACCCAGTTGACGCCCGCAAGCAAACAAAGACATGAATCTTTCACGTAGATCTTCACAACAAGTACACACATAATAAGCTGCAGAATAGGACAAACACGTAGCCTTCATGTCATGACGGCAGTAGGTCGACGCTGCGAGTTACCGCCCTTCTTCTGCGAGTTTGGACGCGCCAGGGTGTACTTGGCAAAGGCCCGCGCCAGAGCCTTTTTGCAGCTGACCTTTTGGCTGCCGACGAAACTCTCCACCGTGACGGCGATGGCGCGGTCAATGTCTTGCGAGGAGCAGTACTCGGAGAGGCGCATGCGGGAAAACGCCTCGCTGGTGCGGATAATGGCCTCCAAGTGACGAACGGTGATGGGGTAGGCGCCCGTAGCCAGCGACTCTCGTCGCATGTCGGCAAAGAGACGAGCCACCTTGTCCTCGTCCATGTGGTACAGCTTGGGCTTGCAGCGCTCGCGTGCGTACAGGATGTACTTGCGCAGCAGCTGCTGGGGAATCTCATTATCCTTGCGGGCGCGCTCCGCCTCTTCTTGCTCGTCGCCGGCCGCGGCCTGCGTATCCTCCGTCCGGTCCTCGGCGAGAGGGTGGCTGCGGCTGTGCGATTTCACGATGAAGCGCGCGAGACGCTCGTCTTCGGCGGGTTCCACCGTGTCGCGCACCACGCAAAGGACGTCGAAACGGGACAGAATGGGTTCCGTGAGCTGCACATTGGAGGAGAAGGGGATCGTCGAGTTGTAGCGACCACCGATAGGGTTAGCCGCGGCGATGATACCGCAGCGAGCCTGGAGGGTTGTGACAATACCAGCCTTAGAGATGGAAATGGTCTGCTGCTCCATGGCTTCGTGGATAGACGTGCGATCTTGATCGTTCATCTTGTCAAACTCGTCAATCAGACATGTGCCACGATCCGCGAGCACAAGAGCGCCACCTTCCAGAGTCCATTCGCTCGTCAACGGGTCGCGTCGCACACTGGCGGTCAAACCGACAGCACTGGCTCCCTGACCGGTGGCAAACACAGCTCGGTGGGCCGTCTTCTCAGCATATTTGAGGACCTGAGACTTCGCAGTACCAGGATCACCGAGAAGGAGGACATTGATATCGCCGCGGATATGATGCGCGCCCTTTGTGGTTTTCGCAACGCCACCGAAAAGTGACAGAGCAACAGCCGTTTTTACATCACTGTGGCCGTAGATGCTAGGTGCAATAGAGTTGATGATCTTGTCCACAATATTGGGATCGCGCGCGAGCTTACGAATAGCATGCTCGTCTTCCTCGGTGAGGCGAAAGCCGGCGAGCTGATCATGCGACTTGACGCAGTTGTTGGCTTCCAAAACTGTGGCGAAGACTGGGAAACCATTTCTGTTGTTGAGCTGAGCATCGTAGTTGTTGCGGTAGATGCCTGTTATTTCAATCTCCTCACCAGGCTTAGCTGTGTCAATCAGATCTGACAGGAGAATGACCTCTCGCTGGCGGGGCAAGCGGCCAGCGGGGACGGTACCAGGAGACTCTTGGAGAGTCAGCTTCTGGTAGTTGCGGTAGACGGTCTCCGCCGAGTTGAGCGTGAACGGTCCTCGCGACTGGCAGTTCTGGCAGTACGTAATTTTGACCTCGGCGTTGGAGGATTCTTGCTGGAACGGTCCTAGAGTCGTACCGCACTTGGCGCAGTCAAACTTGATTAACTTGAGCTGCGGGAAGACGCCAGAGCGGCGAGTCACGACACCGCTGACGCGAACAAGACAATTGAGATGAGATTGGCGGAGCTGACGCAGGGTATAGTGAACAGGGAGGTCAAAGATGCGCACGTGAATCTCCTTGTGAATGCGCTCGTAATCGGGGTAATGCAGAAGAACAACTTCGTTGGCAACCTCGTCCAAGAGCTTGAGCATCTCGGCGGGAGAATTGGCCAAGAAGTATGCAAGAATAGCCTTGCTTTCGGACAGGTGTTCGTACGAGACCTCGAGCGACTCGGCGTTGATCTCACCGAGCGTTCGAATGCGGTTACCGTAGACGGAGGAGCCAGACGCGTCCGTGTACGAGGTGAGGAAAGCTTTGAACTCGCGACGGATAGTACGCTGCACAGGAGCCTGCGATACCCACTCCGTGAGGTTGGCTGCCTTGACGTCGCCAAGGGCCTCGAGTGAAAGCTCCTCTTCCAGAATGTCGCCGTCCATGTCATCGTCAGGGTCCTCATCGTAGTGATGGCGTCTGCGGCGGGGCTGTGCAGTGAGATCGATATCGCCATCGTCGTCTTCGCCAGGGAGGAAAGCAGCGGGGATACGTTGTCGGCGAGCAACCTCGCGATCGCGTTGGCTCAGCTGTGCCTCGAGGCGTCGTCTGGCGCCGAAGTCCATGTCGTCGTAGTCGCCCTCATCATCAAGGTCGGCCTTGTCGTACTCGTCACCCTCTCTGTCTCGATAATCCGCCTCATACCCTTCCCGGAAAAGATCGACATCATCGTCGGCCATCTCATCAAGGTCGTCAATGTCGTCCTGAATCTCTTGCTCCTCCTCAATATCGTCGTTGTCGTCGATGCCGTGGGCGATGGCAAACGGCGCGGGGGGAGACGACGGCATGGGACTGGAGACGAGGCCGACAGGAGAGGTGCCATCATCACCACCGGTGCGCGAGCGCTTGCGACCGCCGTGAGAAGCAGCCCCTCTGTTGCCCGAGGCAGGGTTATTTCTGAGCGGGGAGCTGTGGTAACCATGTGGTTAGGAGCGTTTGTAGGATAGTATACTTCACGGGACAAACCTCATTGTGTATGTGTGAATTACCGAATGGGTTCAATTCGGTTGCGAGGAGATGGAGTTGCAAGAATAAAATGGGTTGAAGCAGTGGGAGGGGCTTGCACGAGATGTTTGACACCCGAGATTGAAAGGGAGCCACAAGGCCGCCCACATTCTCGCGTCGAAACGCGTCACACGCGTAAAGTGGCACTAGGCCTCATCAGACTGACGCGTTGGTACACTTCGCGGAGTCAGTCCAAAAGAAGCGAGACAAATCAATTGCAAGTCAAGGAGAGAAATAAACTTTTGCATTAGCATTATTACTATTATTTTTTTGGCATTGGATTCCTACTATCGATTTTTCATACGCGACAATACTGTGCTGCGCCTGGTAGCTTACCTAACAACTTGGCTTGCCCGCGTAAAGTGGCTCGTATCAGACAGCTGCTGAGCCGCCTTACTTCGCCCTCACAACAGGTTCATCCAAAGAAACCGCCGGGCGCTGTTAATCTTTTTGTATGAAGAAAGCAGGATAATAGCCATCGGAAATTTCGCAAAATGTCCTCCAATGGCGTCGAGCAGGAGGTCGCGGCTACGCAAACATCGAAGCGCAGCAACAGCTTCTCCAACCAGTCCGATACCTCACAGACAGCTGCCGAGTACGCCAATACCGTCTACACCTACTCTGGGACAGTCGCTAACACTTTCCAGGTTCATCCGCAACCAAGAGCTCCTCGAGGCTGATGCGCGCGAAGCGCTACCCTTCGTACGTCTACCCCGGCCAACAGTCGCGTGCAACACGCTAACTCTCCGCAGAGCATCGACCACTGCACCCGAATCCTTGGCCCTCTGAGGCAGAGCGTCTTTGCGTGCCTGACGTGCAGCCCCGCGCCCGCGACCGACACCGACACGTGGATGCCCGCCGGCGTTTGCTACTCGTGCTCGGTCCAGTGCCACGGAGAGCACACGCTCGTCGAAATCTTCCAGAAGCGGAACTTTACCTGCGACTGCGGCACGAAGCGACTACCCAGTACGAGCCCGTGCGTGCTGCAGACAAACGACGAGACGAATACACGCGGCAACGTGCACTCGCAGGAGCCCGACGTCAACAACCGGTACAACAAAAACTTTCGGAACCGCTTCTGCGCGTGCGACTGCGACTATGATCCCTTTGAGCAGAAGGGCACCATGTTTCAGTGCCTCGGCCTCGGCACCGAGGAGAGCGGCGGCTGCGGTGAGGATTGGTACCATCCAGGCTGCCTCGTGGGCATGGGACCCAAATGGTACGAATCGATGATGCCCAAGAAGAAGAAGGCCGAGAAGCACGAGAATGGGAATGGTCTTGCAGTCATCTCGGAAGTCAACGAGGATGAGAAACAAACGGAGGAGAAGGGGGAAGAAAAGACGGAGGACAACGCCGCGGATGACGACGAGGAGCCACCTATGCCTCCTGGTTTCCCCGAGGAAGAAGATTTTGATGGCTTCTTGTGCTACAAGTGCGTCGAATCAAATCCCTGGATTAAGGCGTATGCTGGCACGTCTGGCTTTCTCCCTGCTGTGTTCCTCGATCCCGCAGCCGCAGAGGCACCTCAAGCGTCGATTGCGGAGGCGTCCCAAGCGTCCACCGGAGGCAAACGCAAAGCAGAAGACGATGACGAGCAGCAAGATGATGCTAAGCGCGTCAAGACCGAAGACGAAGCGCCCTCCGCTCCCGCATCCACCAACATAACCAGCGAGCCAACAACAGCCCCCTCCCCCCGCGGCTGCAAGCTCCCCAACTTCAGCCCGGCGCCCACCGGCCGCTTCTCGCTCTTTTTCAAGGAAGACTTTCGCGACCGATTCTGCCGCTGCGGCGACTGCGCCCGGCAGCTCGCCCTCTTCCCGCAGCTCCTCGAGGCGGAAGACGTCTACGAGCCGCCCATGTCGGACAAGGGCGACGACGCCGGCTCGCAGCACGGCGGCTCCACCGCGGGCAGCGGCAGCCTGCTCGAACGCGGCGAGAGCGCGCTGCGCAACGTGGACCGCGTGCGCGCCATCGAGGGCGTCATGGCGTACAACCACCTCAAGGAGCGCCTCAAGCCCTTCTTTCAGCAGTTTGCCGACAGCGGCCAGGCCATCGGCGCAGAGGACATCAAGGCCTACTTTGCCAAGCTGCGCGGTGACGAGCAGGCCATCCGGGACGCCGGCGAGGGCGCCGCCGCGTCGGCGTCGGGGTCTGGCCAGGATGGCGGCGGCGCCGCCGATGGGCGTCGCGAGCAGGGAGGGTATTAAGCGGGGGATCATCTTTCAACGCGGTCGTGTGGAGGAGGAAACGCTACAACGGTGTAGTGGTGTATACATGTTTGTATAACAGAAGAACTGGAAATTCAGCGGTGTTGAGGAGCGGGCTGTGGGTTTTGGGACGAAAGTCGTTGCGTTTAACAAATTTGGCATCTGGGAATCAGAATAAGAACAATTTACGAGCACTTGCGTTTACTACTCAACTGCCAGAAAAAAAAAAAGCAATTCGTTTCGTGATGCCATTAAACTACCAATCCCGTAACCCGACCACGAGGTCAGCATATATATACACAAGTACAAGGTATTTTTGCTACATGCAATGCCAATTTTGTCCCAAAATTACACCCGCCCCAAGACCCAGCGTCGCCGCGCCGCGTGCATCTCCTCGTACAGCTCGAGGCCTTCCTACGAGCCTGTCGAGCCGGTACTCGAAGCAGCACTGAGCGGCCTGGGCGGGGGCAGCGGCAGGGCATCGTCGCCGCCTCTCTGCATCGCAATGCCGCCCATGGGACCGCCACCAGAGTGAAACTGCGGGGGGGTCGGCGCATGCATCATCATCATGGGCGGAGGCAGCCCGTCCTCGTCCTCCTCGTCCCCGTGGCGCGCCATGTGCTGCTGCTCCTGCACCGCGCGCCGCTCCAGCTGCACGAGGCGCTCCTTTTCCGCCGCGTCGACAATGTCGTCGTCGGCGCTCCAGTAGGGGTCGTCGTCCTCGAGCGCGGGCATGGCGAGGCGCTTCCAGAAGCGGACTTCCTGGCGGAGCGCCGTCTCGCGCACGCGGCCGTCCCAGAGGGTGCGCCGGTCCTCGGCGTCGTACGCGCGGCGGAAGCGCCGCAGCGCGTCATTCGCCGTGGCCGCGTGCGCCTGCATCTCGCCCATTTGGTCCCGCAGCCGGCTGTTTTCGCGGCGCGCCTCGTCGAGCTGCGCGCGGTAGGAGCGGTGCCACGACGCCACGTCGGCGACGTGTCGCGCCTTGTACTCGTGAAACTGCTTGAGCATGCCGGCCAGCGCATTGGCAAATTGGGTCAGCAGCGTCGCGTTGGCGTCGCGCGAGTGCTTGGCTTTTTCCAGTGATTCGGAGAGGACGGAGAGGAGGGCGTCGATGTTTTGGTCTTGACCTGGACGCGAGAAGGTCAGACTTGGGTTCGGTTTTTGAAATGAGGGGGTGGTGTCTAGGGGGGACTGTACGGTTGATTTCCTCGGCTGCGGCGTCAATGATCTGGTCATTGTCCAGCCCCTGTATCCGCGCGCGATTACGCACACGGCCGAGACCGCTGACAATGTCTTCTGTGACTCTTCTGTTCTCGGCGAGCTGTCTGCTGAGCTCCTCCACCATGCCGTATATGTAATTCAGTTCGGCCTGGTGGCCGGCCGGCGTGGGCATGGGCACGCCACCGCCCATGTTTGGGCCGTTCATGCCATTCATGCCGTTCATTCCGCACGATAGAACGAGGGACAGTCTGGCGTCGAGGAGGGTGATGAAAAGCGAAGTGTTTATTTCTGTCTGGGAGTGCTGTCGTGAAATGAATTACGGTCAAAGTGAACTGTTGGAGGTCCCCAGCTTGGAGCTAGGCTGTCTTGCAGGCACACAATGATTATGTAACCGGTGCTCCGCCAGCATCTTCTACCTGAACATCTAAGAACCTTGCAATTGCTGTACAATTTAGGCATTGGCGGCAGTTCAAAGTCTTCTTGTTTGTGTATTTTGTTGCGCCGAGTTCTTCCTTTCAGTAACACACGTGTGCACTTGTGCATTCGGAGCTCCTATTTCCATCGCGGTGTTACATGTCTGCTAGGTGCCTTTCCACTCATTTGCACAGAATTGAGGTGCGCAGCAGCATTCAGGTTACGTTGCAAACATTTCAAATTGGCGTCATTCCTCTTCGCATTACTAATTCATGCCACATACTCCCGAAATGTTGCTCACTTTTCTTCTCACCACTACTACTTGTCTCATCCTCAGCAGTTTGAAAGAGTTTTTGCCCTTCCCTTTACCGAGATAGGGTGTTTCCTTCTTCATTCAGTTTCTTTGCACTCAACCACCAACCACGCGGTTCTTATCCCTCTTTTTCCGGATCTCACTGTCACCATTGGATGGTAAATCGCCGCCAATGGTACAGCACCGATCAGGAAAGCACGCGTCGGTTCCTTGCTCAACACAACTTGGCACACACAGCCTTTCGCGGGGTATATCCATCGCCGGTGTCTTAAAATACGTAGTCGTTAAGAAGAGCCACGTCAGTCACACACACGTCTGCAACTCCGTTCAACGCGCAGAGAGGTATGCTGACGGGTGTCTTGATCCAAAGTCATTCGGATGAAAAGGGATTTGGTCATATGCAGAGAGCGCCATTGAGAAGACATCGGGACCCGTGGGTCGGTGTTGCTCAATTACCAGGGCGCGCTCTTGCTGAGAAAAAAAAATGTATGAAAATGATGTGGTCGTCTGGCCAGGCACGCTCCCCGTTCCCTCGAGTTCGTCATCGTTTCGTAAACTGGTCGTGTCTTGCCGGGGGAGGGCCTGGTGATAATAAGGGAGATGTCAAATAAAATAGGTATGCCACACAACTCGTTCCATGATAAATGAACCGGGCGGGCACATTGAAGAGAAAAAGAGGCGCAACGCATGTACCCATGCGAACCAGAGACGCCATGCAGAACCAAGCATAGGAGAGCTTGCCGTGTAGACAACCCATCCAATCCCCGGCAATACAAATTTCCCAACAGTGCAAAGAGAGAATAGTAAAAACACTCAAGGAAAGTTGTTTGTCGATGGACGCGTCAATGCGTCAACTGATCCACGGACAGGATAAAGTGAACTTGCAAAAGACATCAAAACAAGAATAACAAGAAAATTGCCAGGCTTGCGATTCAATCGACCGTCTTTGTAAGATGGCGGTGAATGCGAGTCTAGACCTGTCGCCCCCGCGCAGTTCGTTGCCATGAATAGCTTACAGCGAGGCCGTAAACAAGCGATGTATTGTCGGAGGCGGATAGGTGGGCAGAAAACTATGCGACGGGAGGGATGGGAGCAACGGGTGCAGCAGGGACGTTGGTCAGGTCGACTTCGTTGTTAATTTCAGGAGCGACGGCGGCCTTTTGGGGGCAATCGCGGGAGATGTGCCCGGCCTCGCCGCACTGGTAGCAGGTCTTGCCGGCGGTGTTGAGAGGGCCGCCGTTGGGAGCCGTGCAATCGCGGGAGATGTGCCCGAGCTTACCGCAGGCGTAGCACTTCATGGCCTGAGCCTGGCAGTCGCGGGCAAAGTGGTTGGGACCACCGCACTTGTAGCAGGTAGCGGGACGAGGGCCGCCAGCGAAACCACCACGGCCGCCAAAGTTTCCTCCGGCATAACCGCCGCGGCCCATGGGGGCACCACGGCCCATGGCGGCGGGACCAACGGGGTTGGGGCAAGCACGCTGAGGAGCGTTAGAAGGGTAAAAGACGAGCGGCTAACAGAGGACATACAGCAAGGTGGCCGGGCTGGCCACAGTTGTAGCAGCGGCCGGAGGTGGCATTGCCGGTCAGGCGCAGAGTAGGGCAGTCAGCCTGAACGTGACCAAGACCCTGGCAGTGGTAGCACTGCTTGGCTTCGGTGGTGCGAGGAAGAGGGCAGCCATTGGACTCGTGGCCAGGCTGCTTGCAGTTGTAGCAAAGGCGCTCAGAGGAGGAGCAGACCTCGGCATAGTGGCCGACGTTGCCACACTTGTAGCATGCACGACGAGAGAGAGAAGACATGGTAGTGTACTGTCGATTGGGGTTAGCAAATGTAAATTAGCTGGCGTGCATGAAGTTGTGCCGCTGTCATGCTGGTAATGCTGGTATGTCTGCCTTTGCTTCGCGCCACTTGCGCTTTCAGTCACATGCTGCCTCGCCACTGGTGGATTGTCGTAGGGTACGCGCAGGAATTGGGCGACACGTAGCCTTGCGCGACGAGTGTATATGGAAACTCAGAGTGGCAGGGTAAAGAGACGTTCCCGGCCTAGTAGGTGATTTTGTCGCGTCGCCACGTGGGCGGGCACCCGGGGGTGCGGCGCGACATGGTATTTCGCAGTCTGGTGGGAGAGGACCGAGGTTGTGGCGGCGAGTGCAGCGGGGTGTTGTCTGTCGCAAATATGGAAAAGAACAGCGATACTGTCAGAGACGCGGCGAGGGTGAATTTCAGAACCACAAAGTGGTTTTTTTGTCGTGGTTTTTGAGTTTGCGTGCCGATGGTGCCGAGGATCGGGTCGCACACAAAAATCGAAACGGAAATTGAGCGGACGGCGCAAAAGCAAGTCGACGGGATGCAGGTACTGTGCGGCGCAATTTTCGCATGGCACGCAGACTCTGGGTTCCTCTTTCGTCCATTTCTTTTATTTTATTTTTGCGAATCGCGTCAGGCGCAGCGAGTGTGAGCGTCGGTGGTGGCCAAGCAGTGACAGGCGAGGCGGGTGCTGGCAGCGCGAAGCGGCGCAAGTGGCGACAAGAGAAAAATAGGCAGGCAGCGAATGCGTGTAAGCAACGTACCTGAGATGTTCCGAGGAATAAATGTAGACGGGGTAGAGGAGAAAAAGGATGATGATAAGAGCAAGAGAGTCGACTTGGGAAAACAACTGTCCACCTAGTTACAATCGGATAGAAACTGGAGTAATGAAGATGTTGAAGAATGCGAAGGGGAAAAGAAAAGAAGAGGAAAGGAAAGCACGGGCAGGGATTGACTTTTTGGCTTTTTGGCGCAAAGGAGCAGTGCAGTTGCGGAGGAGGGGGCGGCGGCGCCTGGGAACTTGGAGCCTGGAGCCTGTCGCCCTGGCTTTTTGGCTGGGAAAATTTTTACTTGTGGAGGGAGGCTAGCGAGCAAGGCACTTTGGGTTCAGGTTGGTTTCCCCGGGTGCAGTAACAGCAACACCATGTCGCGAGGAAAACGCCGCAAATCAATCTCAGGAAAATACGCTAATCACTTAGTCGGCATCAGTTTGTGTCCAATCGTATGTCGCGAATTGCAGGACTCCCAGCCTAGTCGCTGCACGGATACCAGCTTTCCCCGACACACACCACCTGCATCCCGACCCTTGGCTGCCGGATCAAACTATCCCTGATCCCTGATGACCACCGACATGTCCGTTCCTCGAATTGCAATTGATACCGGTCGCCCGGACCTCAGCAGCATACTCTGGCGAACGTACCCCGTGTGCCGTGTGGCGCCGCCCTCGCGACCTCCCCCCTCGGCGACCCCGGCTTGAGAGGCAACAAATCGATCAATCGGCCAAGTGGCGTGCGGCTGACTTGACTAAATAAAAAAATTGAATCAATATAGTAAGTTAATTACTGCTACGGCTGCCTGTTTCTGCGTAGTGAAATGCAATTGTTGCCACATGACCCAAAACGCCCTGCTTCGAACCGCACACATCCTGCTAGTTATCTCGCCATCTGCCCTCGACTGGCCGTCGTCGTACCAGTCGACGACGCACTCATGGCATCAACCACATATGATACACCGTCTTCAGACACATACGACGGCGGTCGCCGTGTGCCAGGTGCAGCAGGTGCATGCTCCGATTCCGTCTCCGGCACAGCTTCCTCTAGTCTAGCTGCCTCGTTTCGCTGCCAGTACAATCGGTCCGGATCCAGTCGCTTCTCCTCGTTAGTATAAAACATCGTAAAGTAGCTAGTAGAAAAAACAAAAAAGCACATACCACGCTCTCACGCCAGAATCCATACGCCGGTGGCGTCAGCTTGTTCGTCACCTCCTCTCTCCCCGCCACTTCTTCATCTTGCGCGAGCACCACCCGAATCGGCCGTCGAGGCACCGCGTACCCGGTCCTGAGCATGTCCGCCGGGTTCATCGCCGGCCGGCCACGGGTCGCCGCAACCGGCCTGTCGCCCCGTTTCACCGCCAGGCACAGCCGCATCATGTTGTAGCAGAAAAATAGCGCCGAGGTGACAATGATGAGTAATAACAGAATCGTCAGTTCACTTGTTTGGACGTGCTGTGTCAACGATAACCCGAGGTCTATACAGCCTTTGTTAGTCGAATCTCAACCATGTGGGCGGCGGCATCAATGTGACTTACAGACTGCCAGTAGTAATACCACGAACAACCCTGATGTTAGGGAATGCACCAGCGTCACACGCACTCGTCCAGATTTGATCCAGGGCAGGCAACATAGAAACCGCTTCGTCCCATCACACTGCATCTTCTCAACTATTCCTCTCCGTCGGGATCGGTGATTCGCTGATTGCCTTTGCTGTGTCCCAGCGTCCGAGCTTGGGTCGCTTGCCGCCACGATAGCTGGGGGCGGTTCTACAATTCCAGGCGCTCGACGCTCAGCACCCTCGTTTCTGGGCCTTGCATTCTCCTGTGTTCTGCTTCCTGGTCTGGGTGTGTCTGGCGTCTTGGGAGTTTCTGGCCCTTGCCTGCTCCCCCCCGCCACGGTGCCAGAGTTCCGAACGAGGTCAAGTGGCCGTGAGAATAACCTCGCCAATCTGGAAGTGCGCGATGTGTCTTGTTGTGTTGTGTTTTGTGTCGTATCCCCAGCAGTCGAGGCCTCCGAAGGCCCATGACTGACAGAGCCTCGCTCCATAGCATCGCTTCTCTGCGCATGCGCTCGTTGTATAAGATCTCGCCTAATGCTCTCCGCCCTGGCAGGAAACATGGTCCTCAAGAACCAATCTTCTCGTTCTCTGTTTACCGTGTTCAGCTTCCGGAGCTCCTTTCGTGGTCTTGCAAGCTTGTCGGCGACGTTGTTGAGATTTGTCGCAGAGATACGCTGCGGTTTCGTTGCCAACTGCGAATTCTTCCTCGAAGTAACTCCAGAAAATAGCGATTACCCAGGACTATGTGCAAGCTAGGCTGCCCCCATGCCACGGGCTCTCGTCAGCCTTGAAGGAAGCTTCGATATCAACGTCAAATTCGGTGGGTCGAGGGCGGCCTCAAGTATACGCTGATCCCGGGATATTGCAACTAGCGGACCAAAAATGACAATGAAAAGGGCGTATAATGGAGATGATGGCAAAGGGAAATCTTGCTAAGGGTCAACATCCAGAAGAAGGCCAAGATCAGAAAGAATCAGTCAAGTCAAGGATGGGGATCGTGAAAGGGGCAATGAGGCCTGGTCAGCCAAGACCGACGAAACAAGTTGCTTCCAACATGCTCAACAGTGATTGAGTGAGTTATTACACTGCAGCCTGGGGCCAGTCAGCTACGGGGATCAATACGACGCGAATGAATTGCCTGCACTCCGCGTGTTTGCATTTATGCGTGCTCTGCAGTGCCTCAATGTGGCGGGCGTCTCCTGTTACGAGTTTTGGTAGCGTGTGTCATTTTCTTGGCTGGAGATTGCTCCAACAGAAATGTCGCGACAGGCCTCCCCAAAGCCTGATAGTTTCCTGGCTGGTACTCGGAGCTCTTGCTTGTCGGTTTGAAACTCTTCAGGGGGCAATGTCTTTCCTGCACATGATCGAGTGGCCATGAAGGCAGCAAGTTGGCGATTTTGGTTGGACGCTGGTGGTCCTGGGTGAAGCGGCCTTGTTTCAGCATCCCTGTCGGCGTATAGATGCATGCAAGCGAAGGCAGCATACTCAAGTTAGACGAAACATCTTGTCGGCAAAAAAAAGAAATATCATTATTGTATTGACCACCCATAAGGATTGAAAAGCAATTCTCATGATAACAGTAAAGAGTCCATCTTGAAAATCAGCTGATCATGGCCAGTATGGTGCGACTTTTATTACCCCCCTCGAGTGGACGACCCGCCATTCGGGTTGAGAATTGCTAGTTAGTTACAGGGTCCTGGAATAAGGGTAGTGCGGAGAATAAAAGAATAAAAAGTGTCAGGCACCCTTTTCTTGTTGTGACACGAGCTGAGCGCCCATGTGAAGCAGGGCAAGCGTCACACACATAAGCCTCAACCAATCAAATGGCCGGGCGCGTCGCCTGCAACAGAGCTACGTGCCCGGTTATGACATTTCAGTTTCATTATTGTTCACAGTATTATATACAATGTTGCTTCTTCCAAGGACGGCTCCTATGATGCCTAGCACATGCGTCTAGGCAGCCGCAATACTCAGTCTTGGATATGGCTATTCAGATCGAGGCTCCACGCGTCAGGCACCCCATCTGCCTCCAGGATGAGCTTATTCTCACGGCCAAAGTTGCACAATGGCCGTGAATCTGGGGTCCCGTCATACCGGTCTAGATACGATCGGGCGATTGTGCTGATCCTTATGCCGCAAAGTGCCGTGCCAAGCCGCTTCGCTCTGCATGCAGACATACATGGGCGTCGGAATCAACTCATTATACGGATACCGTCGCTAGATAGCTCCCCTGCCCGACATCATTTCAGCTCGCCAAGAAGCATAGTGCGATCCGACGACGCGGAGAGAACTGCGGAAACATTAGCAAACCTCCCGGCTTGACAAAGTGCATGTGTACTTACGAACTGGCTCCTTGTTGGGCGAGAATTCTGCACTGTTGACGGTGCCGCGGTGGCCAGGGAGCTTATATAACAGCTTGCCGTTCTCACTAGACCACACGAGGACAGTACCATCCCCTGACGCAGCCGCAATCTTCTTGCCATCAGCATCCCAGCTGGCCCCAAGCAGATTCTTTTCTGATCCCGATGTGGCCCCGTCAAAAGTGCGAATCCGCCGCTCCGTGGGGGCAAATGGCCGAATGTCCCACGTCCTGACTGTTGAGTCCATGGCATACGATAGCAGCGATTGGGAGTCCGGCGACACTCTTAGTGACGTAATGGTGTCCGAGTGGCCAGCCATACTATACACAACAGACTTCTTGCGCAGATCCCACACACGGATGTCGTTATCGATGCCGCCCGTGTAGAGTTCGTTTCCAGCCGGTGAGATGGCGACGGCCGTGACTGGAAAATCAGTTTGGATATAGTCGACAGCGTTCTTGGTGCGCGGGTCCCAGATGCCGATTGAGCCGTCGTCGCTGCCGCTGATGAGCATCTCCTCGCCACGGCGCGTAATGTCCAGCGCGTTGACAACTTCTTCATGCCCAATGTACCGTCGAATTCTTGTGCCCGAGGTCAGATCCCAGCTCGCCAGGTGCGTGTCGGCAGAGGCAGTGTACAAGATTTCGGAGTCGCGAGACCACTGTAGATCCAGAACCGCGCTCTTGTGTCCGTTTAGTACGCCGTAGTTTTCGCAATCGCCGTATGTTCGCCACAGTACTGTGATGGATTAGCTGCGACGTCTGACTTGGAAGTGACATCGCACATACATATACTTTTATCCATTGACCCAGACGCAATGAGGTTTCCCGTAGGGTCGAATTTGGCTGTGAATACTTCACCAGAATGACCCGTCAACTGCATTACAGGTGCCTGCAGCGCACTCGTTCTCGGGGCCTGCGGCAATATTAGCTTTGGCCGGCAGAAAAATATGAAATAACTTACCGACTGCACGAGCGCATTGCTGGAGGCGTTCAGGCGAGCAAGGGCACCCTCTGACTTGTTGACATTTTGGCGCTTCACCAGGACATGCGACGTGCCTGGTTCGCCGTCGGCGGGTCTCTTCTCGGCAGACATTTTGCAGGCAATGAACCGCGGGAGAAATTGCGCGGATTCGAGGCTGCGATATACCTAGGGCGTTCGATTGCTGAAGGCGCGTTGGTGAGGTCTGGATGGAAAATTATCGATCGCGGCGCGAGCTACCTGAAAGCTGGGGCGCTCATTGGCTGTCGGCCCGCTGGTTCTTCCCAAGCTTGGTCCCCTCCACCGTTGGCCACCCCCAAGCTGTCACTCAACCTTTCTGCACAACAAGCTCGAGAGGCCATAATTGCGACAAAATCCGGAGATCCTCGGATAGATTACCTTCCATTATTGACTGCATCACAATCCGGACCTCCCACAGCGGCGCGATCTACAAGACGAACAAGAAAGCAAGGGGCGAGCCGCAGCAAACATGGCCTCTAGCAAGGCTTCTCGCATCGGTGAGGAGTAAGTCGTCGCGCTAAAACTAGATACACGACTATATTCTAACGATTTTGTAGGATCTGGAAGTACGAAATATATTGGCAACGAGCTGAAGAGCGGCTGACCGAAACGCAGGACGAGAATCGATAAAGTCAACGCTGAGCTCGTGACTCTGACCTACGGTACCGTGGTTTCGCAATTATGCAAAGACTTTGATGGCGATTATGCGGAAGTAAACAAGCAACTGGACAAGATGGGATACAATATTGGCTTGCGCCTGATCGAGGACTACCTCGCGAAGTCCAACACCATGAAGCGATGTGCCAACTTCCGCGAGACAGCGGACATGATTTCCCGGGTATGACTTTCGAAAGCCATATCTACAGGCGGAGTTGACTAATTTGGTACAGGTCGGATTCAAAATTTTCCTGAATATCACACCGCAAGTAACAAATTGGACAACGGACAACAACCAGTTTTCCTTGGTATTTGACGAAAACCCGTTTGCGGACTTTGTCGAATTACCCGATGACGGCCGCGCACAAGACGAGTTGTGGTATTCGAATATTCTTTGCGGGGTTTTGAGGGGTGCGCTAGAAATGGTACAAATGCAAGTCGAGGCGCACTTTATCAGCGATGTGCTGCGAGGCAATGACACGACTGAAATGAGGGTATCATTAATACGATATATCGATGATGAGCTACCTCCGGAGGATGATTAGACGGCTTCACGGGCAAACTGTTAATAATTATATGACCAACGTTTTGGTCCGATTTGTGTTGGTCACAATAGCTGGTAAAGCAGTCGTATTTTCATAGCATGCAGCCCGTGAAAGGCGCCAATATTGATGCAAGAATGTACTGGATTGAGATATCGTTTCGGCACAGAGTTGTCCCGATATCCTACTCTGAGAAGTCACGAACTAGATATCTCATGGAGCGTGGAGCCATGTAGTTCGGTACGAATGAGATGAGCTACCATTACTAGCAAGCGCCGGCCCTCCAGGAAGATGCGGCTACGGCGGAATTGAATCGACTACCTACGCAACGCAACTACGGAATCAAGAATGCTTGCTACAATGAACCATCGGTCCCGCTTGTCCCAGTAATATTGCTCCTTAGTTTTCGGCTTAGAGAACCAACAGATGCATTATTAATTCAACTCAAACTAGTATCGCTGAGTACTCCTTTTGGAGTGCTGACCTCGAATTCACATCGTATCTTCCCCTGACGTCAAACAGGTAGTGATATGTGTGCAAGACAGCCAAGTCTCTGCGCGCCGAGCTCTTCGCGCCTTCACTTGCGCGCTGTGTAAAACACGGCCGAGTGGCGTGTAACTTCAGATGGCGAAAAGTAAAGTGGCGCAACCATGACAGGGTAAGTGGTAGAGTCAAGATCTCAGAAAAGAAAAGAGAAATAGCGTACAAAATAACTAAATACGTTGACCGTTTTATACTAACATACCATTCAAATGACGTTTTCTTGATACATATCAGCCGCTTGGCCACCTACATATATCACCGGTAATAATAGCCCACACGTAGCCTGATGTCTGTGGTGAGTGAGCCCTTTCTTAGCTGCCTTAGGCAGAGACTAGCGCCAAGCGGCCCAGAAAATACACCGTGTGTGCTCACACATACGCCGGTGGCCCCATATATTTCTGCTCGGGGCCAACAGGGCTCACACTGTCCCACACTGTGGTGGCGACGTTTTCTAGTGATCTACCTTAACGATGGTACAGTGCGCTCTACCCCTCGAAAACGTGTGCAAGCGCCGTCCCTTCCCCTATTTCCCAGCAGATAGGCGCTACGACCAAGTGAGCAAGAAAAGATCGCACAGTGCGAATCCGCTCGAAGTAGCACCAAACCGAACCGCGTCTGTCCCTCTCCCGCCACCAAGAGGCAATCTAAGCCCGGCCCATATCCACGAAATCAAAGTCTCCACGGCTCCCAAGAAACGCCTGGTACCCCATCTCCGCTGGTCGCAGGCAAGCCAAACCGTCGAGCCTTCAACCTCCACGTCGCGTGGAATCGACCATCGCATCTGAACCCGGCATTCCCGAGTCGCCCGCTGGCATCCAACCCATTGCTCGCGCTTTCAGCATCTGCGCCCGCCTCGTACTGCGACTCCAGCAGTCTCAGGCACCTGTACCGCCAGCGCCCACCCAGCCTCCAGCTAGCTCTTCGACTTTTGCAACCTCATCGCACTTGTGCCTTGCCTACAACGACTTCTCCGATCCACATCGCGCCCTCATCGAACCTGTCATTTATTCGCGTGCCGCTGGCTTTACCCCTGCCGTTGCTCTCGTTTTTTTCCTATCTACGATCGGCCTTGCCACGCTTCGCGCGCGCCGAAAACGACCACCTTTTACCTCTGCTGGTCGCGGCTGCACAGCATTTTCCCTCCCGCAGGTTGGCATATCTCAACCAGCCTTCCGTCCATCCCCGGAAAGCCCACGTTCGGCCAGCCTCTCTAGTGCTGTACCGTAGTGGCAAGTCCCGGCGGCTGATTCGGCTACATTTCCTCTTTCCCTCGATACCCTCGACGATTAGATCTTGGTCGACGTTGCCTGACTTCACATTATGGCCATGAATCCCAACGCTGCCATGGCAAACATGAACCCGATGGGCGGACCGGTCGGAGGTGCGCCTATGCCCATGATGAACAATGGCGCTGTCAATCCCCAGGCCGCTGCTGCTGCCGCGAGACAGCAACAGCTGAATGATAACCAACGGAGTGTCCTGAACACCTACATTTACGAGTACTTCCTGCGGTACGGGATGTTCGACTGCGCGCGGGCCCTTCTTTCTAGCCGTCAACAAGTGAATGTCAAGGATGGCAAAAATGGCAACGCGGCCAACGGCACCGGCGACGACGCCATGGATACTGATTCTAAAGATGACATCGATTCCAAAACCCCCGAGGACCTGCCGGCTCCCAAACTTCCCATGCCCGCATCTGACACGTCCTTCCTGTACGAGTGGTTTTGTCTGTTCTGGGATATATACAACGCGCAGCGTGTCAAAGGCAATAGTAACGGGAATATCAACCAATATGTTATGCACACTCAGGTATGCTTTCTATGCAGACTGTTGCTACAAAAATGACCCAATACTGACTCTGCGAAAGGAAATGCTTCGGATGCGACCGGACATGCAACAGGCCTACCAACAAGCCCAGATGGCCCGCGGCATGCAAGGCGGCATGGCCGGCATGAAACCGGGTAACCTGGCACGCACTGCTATGGCTAATAACCAGAAGTAAGTCGCCTGCGAGATACTGGAGACGAGCAATTTGCTAATGATCCATAGTCCGCAAATGATGCTTGCCAAGCAGAACCCCATGCAGCGAGATCCATCTCAAATGAACTTGAATCAGGATCGACCGTCGTCTCCTAGTGCAGGCGGCGAGAACGCACCCTCGCCTTCCGCTAAGCGTCAGCGCACGGATGGTGGTATGTGGTTCCAGCACGCTGGTCTCGATTTCACTGCTTACAGTTCCCCAGGCCCGGGAATGAACCCCCAACCAATGATGTCCGGAGCTCAAACAGCACACCAGCTACTCACGGCCCATGGTATTAACCCCAACTCTCTTAACCCGCAGCAGCTAGCCGCGCTCGCCAATACACCTCCCCATGCGCAACAAAAATCAATTGCAACCTACATGGCAAACATGCAGTCGCATCATGGAAAGCAGCTCGGAACCCAACCCGGCATGTCCAACGTTCCCAACCCTTCCAATCAAGGTTCCCCGATGGTGCAGCATGCACCAGATGGAACGGCGTTGAATAATTTCTACAATGCCCCCGAGATTGGCGGTAACATGCGTCCTGGCCCCCCTGGTGCTGCGGCTGGTCAAGGCACTGGTAGCAACCATGCTCTTCAGGACTACCAGATGCAACTGATGCTCCTTGAGCAGCAGAACAAAAAGAGACTCATGATGGCTCGCCAAGAACAGGATAACATGGGTGACCAGATGCCGCGGAACGGTCCTCCTGTTCCGCCCAACGGCCAGTTCCCCGATACCTCGCCACAAGCGATGCGAAGTGGTGCCTCACCAAACCCCGGGGACCAGATGAAGCGAGGTACTCCCCAGATGAATAACTCCGGAATACCGTCTCCTGTCCCGGAAGGTGGCCAGTCGAGAGACTCACCCAACCCGATGAACTTTATGAACAATCAAGTCGACCCCAGCATGGCACCGCACTTCTTCAAGGGCCTAGACCCCAACATGGCGGGTGCTCAAGCTCAGATGAATGGCATGCGTCCGCCTAGCTCGCACCCTGGCCAACCTTTCACTCAGCAGCAGATGATGGCAGCTAGGGCACAGAATCAAGGCAACCCACAGCAATGGCAGCCTGGGCCTAACGGACAACTGGTTGGCCAGGGCATGCCTCAAAACCCTCAGGCGCAAGGTCCCCCTCAACAACGCGCTATGCCACCACCATCCGCTCCTGCCGGGGCCGGTCCCAACGCCAACAATAGGACAACGGCTTCTCCCCAGCAGTCGTCAGCCGCGCCGCCGACGCCCAACCAAGGCACCAAGGCAGCTCCCAAGAAAAAGGAGACTAAGGCTGCTAAAGACAAGGTAAGACTCTTGGCGTAATGAACTGTTAAACATCGAGCTAATACTAGCCAGCGGGCTGCTGCTCAGAAGAACAAGGCCGCTGCTGCCAATGCTGCAGGTGCTACACCTGCGGCAGATGGCGATGGCGACGCCGCTCCTGCTACACCGATGACACCCTCTTTTAACAAGGCGGCGTCTAACGCGCAGGGCAATGCTGCTCCAGCTACAACAGCACCGGCTGCCAGCGCGCCGCCCGTGGCTGCTCCCGCACAGCCGCAAGGTGACCTCGGGCAGAATGGCATGGGTGCAGATAACTATGGCATGGTAAGGACAATGCGCATGAACATGCTCAAAATGGCCACTAACGTATTCCAGGTTGACTTCCCTGGCATGGAGTTCGCAAACCCTCTCAACACCGGCGATGTCCTCAACGACTTTGACTTTGATTCATTCTTACATGACAACGATGGCAATGCTGAAGCGTTTGATTTCAACGGCACATTCTCTGGAATGGAAGGTAATGAGATTGGTGCAGAATGATGAGATGAGATGACCCAGACCGAGGGTCGGCCCGGGGGCTGTGCTCTCGGTCATCAATTCCCCCCCGTTGTGTTTTTCCTCGCGTTTTCTTTGTCCTTTGCGTCTTCTGCTTGTTTCCATTACGTTTTGGTCAGACTTAATAGGGCATCATGTTTCATAACGGCGTTTCTATGGATCTAAATCATGGTCATGCGGCGATTTGATCTGGCGGGATTTCCGTGTGCACTTTTCCGCGTAACGAGGACTCAAGCTGGTACAAGAGTTGTTGTTATTTTATGGTCTGTCTACCTTGTACTTTTCTCTTCTTGTCGCCTGAGATCTTGTTGGTTTTCATTTTTTTGCGTTTTCTTGTGTCTCAAATTTTGTCAGTTTTGTATTTTGTTGTTGCAGTTTTGACAACGGACAATTTCTTTTTTTTTTCTCGATGGAGCGCGCTCATGTCGTTGCAAAAGAAAATGAAGGTGAAATATTGGGGTTTCTTAGTTTCTTAGACTACTCAACAGGACTTTGCGTTGCTTGCCCACTTGCAAACATTCGTACACACACACATTCATATATATAGCTGGTTGGCAGCTCGCGTTGAACTCTGCTGTCATGTCGAGGCTAGTCCGCCGTCTCCTAATCTGTTGTTGAGCTGGATAATGGTATTTTCAAAAACGCGAGCTGCGTCGAGATGGACCGAGGCGAGAGGACCATCTTCGTCGTCGTCGGCATCAAGGTCATTCATATCGTCGTCGTCGTCATCATCATCATCCTCACCATAACCGGCATCATAGTCTTCGTCGTCGTCGTCGTCAGACTCGTCGCTGCTCATAATCTCGACAATGAGAACCCGCGTCTGCTCCACGAGGCTGCGGCAGCGAACCATGTCTGTCATGGTCATGCCGCCACGCAGGCCATTCTCAAAGCCAGGAAGCGTTTCCTGCGTGACAATGTCCTTGCCGCACAGCAGACTGGCGAAGCAGTGGTCCAGCTTGCCGAGGAGCTGAAAGGTAGCCGTGGGCGCGGGCGGAAAGGAACGCACAAACTGCGTAAAGTCGCCGCATATTCTCAGAAGAAATGGTATTTGCAGAATGGCTAGAGCCGTCAGCCTTCAAAAAGTCCTTCTCGTGGCGGCTCCTGTTGTTATAGAGAGAGAGAAGCAGCTTTGACGTACGGGTTCCGGAGCGCCATAATGTGTCCACCACTTGGCTCAGCGCGGCCGCCACCTCGCTAAAGGTGGTGAAGCCGACAATGGGGCCGGCGGGGTCCGGGCCGCTGAACTTCTTTACGTAGCGGCGCGAGATGCTCAGCAGGGCTTCCTCGAGGTCGCGCCGCACCTGGTCTTCTCTGCTGCCGCCCGGGCGCAGCGGTGTTCGACGCGGCGCCGGTAGTGAGGCCGCGGCTGGTGAGGAGGCTGTCGAGGGCGTCGGGGAGAGCAGGCCGGCGGCCGGCGGGACAAAGCCTCCCGGCGGAGGCGCAGATTCGCTTTGCATCGAGAAATCTTTGGCGGATTCTTTTGAATTTCTCGTATTATACGAAGCTTTTTCTAGCCAAATTTTTATGGCAGGAAATGGTTGATGAATTGGGGAGCTATTCGATCGTGTTAGTGATGCAGCTCCCACGAGTGAGAGTGGCCCAGCGCCTCCAATCAAGCACCACAATTCACCCTTTTATATGTGGAGCTAGTTAGTGACGGCGAAACTTGAGCGCATCATTTTTCGGCTTCCACGACTTTTTCCATCTCCAACCATTTGTCAGTCGCATTCATCACCCACCATTTCTCGTCCCGCGCAACTGCACACTTTTTCCTTTGACAATGCCTCCCAAGCGCGTCCTCGGCGAGAAGCACGGCCGCCACGCCGCTGCCCCCAAGGGCTACATCGCCGCGACCTACGACACCCTGACCTCGCCCGACAACGCCTCCGTCGTCCGCAGCATCGCCGTCTTTGGCGTAAGTTATGCTCTTTGATGATCGCGCCAGCATCTTGGATGGATGTTGATGAGATTGTGCTCGTGTTCCGCGTGTATAGGGGTCGCTTTGCTAACAATGTGCAGGCTGCTGTCGCTTTCCTCTCGAGCCCCTTCAGCGAATTTCTCCTGCCTCCGTAGGCCATCCCCTCGGCCCGCTCCCCTGACTCTCATTAACAAGTATCGCGTTGCAGGCAGTAAAAAAAATATCCCGCTTCACTTACTACGACGCAAAATTTTATGTGGTCGGCGCAAGGCTGCCAAACGAAACTCGAAACGATGAAAAACGCTGCTGCTGCATTGGTCAGCGCATCACCACTCGCTTGAATCAAGCGCTGTACGAATAGAAAAGTTGGATCTTGTATACTATTTCTTACTTTTATCGGGTATTTTTCGGCGGAGTCCAGTCTCGAGAGCAATACGGAACGGCTTCATGCGCATTGGACCCCTGACATGTGAATAGTCACGCTCTCCTTGCATACACTTAAACTGGCATACGTACCCTGAAACAGGTGCATCATGTCCTCGGGCGCTAAGAATTCTATTGCTTGAATTGGCCAGCCAGTTTAAGTGGCTACAGGCCATCGCAATCTGATGCAGGGGCACTTGCAACCCTCATGCAGCTCTTGCCGTCTTGCCCTCCCTTGCCTCATGTCAAAACACATCCCAAGACAAGTCCAGTGTAACAACAACTCATCTTACCTACACTTTTTCCTTCGTCTGCATGAACTTGTTTTTTTTTCTCGCTTGTGCATCCTCCTATTGTATTACCAGCCCAGTGCCGCGTTTTTACCAGCATCATCTAGCTCATCTAGCTGAACAACGCCCACCGATACATGACTGTTTCAGATCATGGCTGCAGTAGCAACGAGCGCCAGCTCTCGCCCCCCCGGCGCACACCTGGCCAACAGTCATGGCGCCAACACGCTCCCCAGACGAGGCCTGGCGCATCTCGTATCCAAGTTTGAGACGCTTGACAAGGCGAATGGTGCTGCTCTCGGGAAGCCCAGCGCTGCGGGCTTGACTGCCAGCAAGACCATGTCATCACTAGCCTCCCTGCAAGACAATCGGTGTCGCCTCGAAGATACGCCGTATCGCAAGGACGTTGTTTTTGGATCTTCTGGTTCGTCGCTTGTGGCACCTGCGGCGGTCGCACTGGGGCGAGCCAGTATCTCGGCAAAGAAGCCAGAGGTCGCTCTGCCGAACAAGCTCAATCATAGCGAGCGTATTTCAGTGACGGTGGCAGAGAAGAGAAAGATTTTTGAGACTGGTGGGCCATCGCTCAAGGATAGATCAAGTGCGTACTCGATTCAAGATTATTGTCAAGGAAGAACTAACAGTTGGGTTAAAGGCCCCAATAAACAAATCACGAAACTACCCAAGACGGTAACCGCAACTCTCTCTCGATCGGAGAAATCAGACAGAAAGATTTCCACGTCGAATTCTTGTGGACATCTCTACTCAACACCAAAGACTGGTGCGTATCAGTACCGTGTGTGAGGCAAAACTAACCAACTATGAAGCTCCAAACAGTCCTACACAATCCAACCTAGCTCTTGCTTCGTTGCAACATTCCCAGCCGCAGCACCGCCAGAAGCTACAAAACTCGTCCATCCACTCTGTACCGGCGTCGAGTTTTGTGCTGAGGGTACATCGCGATGCTGATCCGCAAAGTCCAACTCGAGACGCAGAGCTCCCGCGGGCATCGAAAGTCGATGCTGTTACGCCATCAAGTCCACGAAAAACCCACGTCTCTGCAACAGGGTCACCGTTGAAGTCACCTACGAAGCTAAATTCGAAGACTGTCCATGCACTGTCCAAAGACTTGTCTCCTCTCTCTTCCCCCATAAAGGCAGCCGCGCATCTTCCTTCCACGACCACACCGAATTATACGCCTGCGCAGACGAAACGGCACTCAGCAAGCAGCATTACGCCAACTGCATCGCTGAATTCTATCGACTCCGTCATCGTCACCAAGAGAGGTCAATCAGTTCCGCAACTACTGAAGGGCTGGTCGCCGCAGCGCATTGTAACGCCACAGAAGCCGATGGCGCCGATAAAGGCAGCTACAATAGAACAGAACGCAGGGCGTGGTATGTTTATGAAACCTAAGAACCCTAAGAACTTTCGACATGCACTTGGCTTCTTCGAGGCCATGAGTCATAGGGAATCATTCAACTCGGCTGCTCCTAGCGAAACAGCGGAAAGGCCAACGAAGGGGCCACAGCAAGCAAAGCCGGCTAGCAAAAGGGAAAAGATCAAAAGCTCGATGCGGAACATTTCTTCATCTTGGAGAGTCAATCGAGCGCGGACGACAGGGGAGCCAGAAACAGTCTCAGGGTACCCTGCTATGTGGAAACTCGGCTCTGTCGAAGCAGCTCCACGCAAAAGGCTGCACGCAGAGTGGTGTGAGGTGTCAACAGACGACAGACAGCCATTGATAGCTTCAAAAAAGGGCGACATTAGCCTGTTTGACCCCTACTTGGCTAGCCACGCGAAGGTGTACCGTGGCGAGGAGCATACACATGGCCACGTGAACATCTCATTGCAGCAATCGTCTTTGCACGGCAACTTCTACGACGCCGATGAATCAGACTGCGGTGCGAATAATACATCCGAAGATTGTTCACGCTCGCCTGATCATGATTCGTCAAAGGCATTGAAGCCTCCGAGAGGCTCTTCCCGCCGCTGGTTTTCGCGCAGCTCAGGGGCACTCATCTCGCAAGCGCACTGCCGACTAGAGCAGCCTAGACCAGTGTATGGTGTGGAAATGAAGAGGCTCATCAGTTTATGCAAGCTTCAAGGAAGTTTGAAGAGGCGCGGGCATACCGAGTAACATTTGCTGCGGCGAAGAGAACCTACGTGTAGCCTGGTTAAAGCAAGACTAGTACTGAGCCGAAGAAGAGGCAAACCGTGATATTAACTTGACATTGCTTTCCTGTAGAGTTCTAGCAATGAAATACAGCTGAATATTTGCTCCCCTTGATCCTGCTAATGCTTGCTACCCCAACCATGCTCTTGCGGGCTACTTTAAGTGCACTGAGACAAAATGCCAGGCGCGACGAGATATAAACCAATGAAAGAATACAAAGGAAAATTATCGCTAAGCAGAAATAGTGTAATGCAACTTAAACCAAATCATGGCTTTGCATGCGCCTGCGCTGATCTGTCGACTGGGAGCACTCGGAGGACTCGCGACAGGCGTCGATTCTGCTAAGCTCGAGGTCAATCGGGTCCATGCGCTCAGATCTGTCCATGAGCGACACGTCGGCCTTGGAGCCGGCCGAGATTTGCGGCGTGACGGGGCTGCCGCAGGAAAAAGTGACGCTGGAGGAGGGCTTGGTCAGGCTACGGTGACCGACGCCACGTGTCTGGGTCTGCTGGGTCAGCTGCTGCTGCTGCTGCTGTTGTCGGCGGAAATCGCTGCCGGCCTGGTAGCTCTGGGACCCTTGACTGGAGATGCGCTGGGCGGCGAGGGTGCCGAGGGGCAGGATGATGATGACCGAGGTGAGTGTGAGGGACCCGGATTCGAAATTGGTAAACTTGGCCCACTCGAGCCCAGCAAAGATGGCTTGCAGTATTGTCAGCGGCCTAGGTTTTTTTTTTTTTCGCATCTGTTTTTTTGGAGCTCACTTACAGGGTATGACCATGAGGGTGCCGTTGGTCATGATGAGCACTTCCATGGGGTTGATGAGCGATGTGGACGGCAGGATGCCGCGGTTCTGGATGAGGTGGCTGACGAGCTTGACGTTGAAGACGGCGCAGAACCAAAAGATGGAAATGGCGCCCATGATGACCGTCCAGTGGATGCCCCAGAAGAAGTACTCTGGCGGGATGGCCGTCACGATGGCGTGGTTCTGGACAATGGTGAACGCGAGCCTGGTGCCGACCGTCAGGAGGACGATGACGGCCGACAGCGCGCAGGCGACGTAGCGCGCGACGCGCGGCCAAAAGGCCACCATGGTCCAGGCCTGGTTCATGAGGGCGGCCTGCATGATGACGACGAGCGGCAGCGAGAGCGTGTTGGCGGCCAGGCTCGCGTCCCAGTAGCGCGCGGGGATCTGCGAAAAGTCGTTGGCCCAGACCTGGTAAAAGTGGCTAAACGGGGAGACGAAGTAGGCAAAGAGCAGGCCGGAGCGGACGACGCAGAGCGCGAGGCCGACGACGTGCAGCACGGCCGACAGGCGGCCGAGCTTGGCGACGGGTGTGAGGGCGAGCACGACGAGCAGCATGACGAGGCAGGCGCCGAGCTGGGCGCCGTAGTTGAGCGTCACGCACAGGGACTCGTCGTAGTAGGCGTTGAGGACGGGTATGGGCACCGACGCCGTCGTGACGTGGTCGGCGAGGAAGAAGGTGACGTTGCCGGCGAAGCGGTCAAACGACGGATCGACGTCGGGCGGAGGTGCGCCGTCCATGGTCGTAAAGGAAGCTTGGTATCGGGACTGTGGGTATGTGTGTGTAACTGTGATGAGATGTCAAGGAGAAGGCAGACCACGTCAGGCTGTGGGTGTGCGATGGGAGGCTTTGCATGCGGCGAGGACGAAGATGCGCTGTGAGCGTTAACACGGCTGAGATCAAAAAGCCATGGAGAAACCAAATGACTGAGATGCACAACGTTTGTGTAACAGAGGAAAGCGAGAGAATGCCGCTGTCCCTTTTGCTATATAGGCCATCTGAGCAACGAGGTGGGCAACGAGGCAGAGGTCGCGGCAAGGCAAGGCTGGGGAGTTATCCGAGACATGCATTCCGCGGAGCAAGAACAATGGGGTTCCAGCCAGGCATGAATCACTCGACCAAACACTGCGAGAGAAGAAAAGATGAGACGACAGCTGAAGGGGAAGCATGCACCGCCCGCGTGCACGATCCCGTCAAGTGAAGCTCAAGATGAACAACAAACCGTGTAAGTCGTCGTTGGTTGTGTGTGTGGGGGGGCGGTTTTCCCGGCTGAGACTCCGACTTGCCGGGGGGGGAGGCGCTTAGTATTGTTCCTGTGGGGGTGTGCGGGCCGGGCCGGACGCCGGCATTAGTATTGTTCTTCTGGATCTGAATCAAACTTTTGTCAGGCGGCCCCCGAATGAGGCATCAGCCGTCCCTAATGTTTCGCAAGATGATGGAATATAGACAGGGGGAAACGGGAAAAAAAGGCGCCATGGAGCTTCTAGACAGTATTCAGCTTGGGGGCCGTGTTGTCTTGGGTCAGATGGTGGCAATGGAATAGGCCGTTCCGGTACGCCTCTTATTGGCAAGCGGAGCCCCACGCATGAGGAAGAGCCGGCTGGGTGTCGGTATTTGAGATTGTACCTGGGTAGGTGTGGTGGTTGGGTGACCGTTTTGAGCTGATACCCCGACGATGGGACGAGTCGGGATGCCAGCACTATAGCTGGACCGTTGGTATGAGCAAAAGCCTTCTCTAACAGTTCGAGATGACCTCGCAGCTGAAGTTTGCATTATCTCCCGGCATTTACTCTAGTGCCTGTGTCCTGTCGCACCAGATCGTCCAGGGTGACGACCACGCGTTCCACCTGACCCCGTCTTTCTCGTTTCACTTTGCCAGTACTTCATTGTCTTGTTCCGATTTGAACTGATATGCATTCATCACCAGGCATACATGAAGGATATTGTTTCCCTCCACAGCTCTTCTCCTCATGATGCGCTGCAGGGGTTGCTTAGTATTGTCCTCCCGGACCCAGGCCCATGCCCATGCCCTCCGCAATCTTGCGCGCCAGCGCTTTTTTGAGATACCACTCGCGAGCCAGCGCTCGTGTCGTCTTGGCAAACACGGCCGGCGGAATCTTGCCGCGTTCGACCGCTCTCCCCAGCATAAAAATAGCGTCACCCAGCGCGCGCTCCTCTGCCACCAGGCTGTACAGCTGGTTCGACACCACTGTCGGCGCCACCAGCAGCTCGTCGACGTCAGGCGCCGCGTGGTTGGCCGATCCTTCCATGACGCCGTCGGCTTTATGGAGCGCCTCGTGCAGAATGTTGGTGTTGGACGCTAGTACACTCGACAGCTGCGTGAGCTGGCCCAGCTCTGACTGGACGCCGGCCATGGCGTTGACCATGGCGGCGCGCTGGGCTTGCAACCCCGCCATGGACTGGTCATTCTGCTGACGGCTCTGCTGGCGCATGTACGCAAGCGTCTGGGCAAGCTGTCGCAGCAGCTGGTCCTTTTCCGGGTTTGGAGGAATGGGTGGCGCCTGGACCGTCGACGGAGGAGGGATATCAACAGTGAGTGGGTCGTCCAAGAGTAGATCGCGCGGTGGAGGCTGCGCCTGCACTGGAGCTTGTTCGGGGGGCGGAAGTCGTCTGGGATCGTGACGCGTTGGGCCCCAGGACCCTGGTGGCGGCGGTTGTTGTTGCCAGTTGCCCTGAACATACGTTGGTAATGCAGAGCTAGGAGTAGGGTTCGCTTGGTGAAGAGGGGCGTGATGTTGAGGATATACAGGAGGACTCGCGAGATTTGTCTCGAAACTTGCCCCTCTATGGCCCCTCGGTTCCATTTGATGTGTTTGCGGCGGTAATGGCGGCGCCGAGTCGTATCGGGAGGGCTGTCGTTGAGAGACGGGTGGCGATGTTGGAGGCAGCGCCGGTTGCGGAGGGCCGGATGCCGATCTTGAATCCTGCGGAGACTTTGGCGGTATAGGTGGTCGTGCCTGTTCTGAAGATGTCGGCTTCGCAGGTCTCGCTGCCATCTCTACGGGCAATGGGGGAACAGGCGGGGGCGCCTCAGCCTGCCGTGACGGCGGCTGCGCGGTCAGTCTTTGCTGTCGCGCTACGACGGGCGGTTCTTTTGCGAATATATCGGCGAGAATCGCGAGAAAGTCTTGCAGCGTCGATTTCTGTTCAAATAGTTAGCCATAATCCCAGCTCCGCGACACGGCGCGCCACATACATCCCAAAATTGCTGCCACCCCACAAGGTACGGGTGATAGACCTGGCCTTGCTGGTCGACATGCTGCCCGGCGCGAATGACCATGCTCTCGGTCGGCGTGACGTATATCATCGGGGGCTCCCGCGGGTACTTGTGCGGTATCCAGATGGACAGCGGGAAGCGGTAGGTGCTGCCGCGAAAATTGACGGGGAGCGTGCCGGAGAGGTGCACCAGCAGCGCGCTGGCGCCATCGGGGGAAGCTGGGGCCGGTTAGACAGACTCGTGTGCATCGAGCGAAGGGGTTTGCGCATCTACGTACTATATACATCGGTACGCGGCGACAGGGTCGGGTAGCGGCTGAGCACGCGAGCGATGCCGTCGTAGCAACGGTTGACGTCCTGGTATTCCTGGGGCGGTGGTGGTTAGCGGCCGCGTGCAAACGGAGGAGGGGTCAGTCGCCTACGCTTGTCAGGACGCTGTAGAGCCAGTTGAGGACATGCTGCTGGACTGTCATGATGGGTCGGTTATGGTGTTTGGCCCAAGGCCAGTCGCATGGGTGCGGTGTTGCGTACGTTGAGAGGGGCAGGCTTCGAGTTTAGAGAAGAACGTTGAGCTCCACCAGACCCGTGAGCTTGGCACCACGACGATGACGCACCACATCATGTCTCAGCCATCTGCCTGGGCTGCGATATTGTCAAATTAATTCTATAAAAAACTTATATACATGTGTATTTCCTGGAATAACCCTCTGTTTTTTTTAACTGTTAGGGTTTTTATTTCTCGTGTTGACGACAGCTTCTGTCTGGAACCGCTTCTTAACAAGGTCTTTTTGAACTAGCTACCCTGGTGGCCAGGTAATCTGCTGGACTTTATGCCTATGAGCATCACTCTGTTGAATGCTATGAAATAAATTAAAGCAGGAATACTATAATATCCGGGTTAGTTTTGATGGATTTTGAACTAATTTCCAAAACGTTGTGCATGTAATCATAGCTGCAAACGCCTGATTTCAGCACAACCTTTGAGTAAAATACGAGATGTAAGTAACTCAACCAAACTAATGCTTTTCTTTCAGACCAAAACACAGAAAAACGACCAAACTACCAAATAATGGGTATAAACGGAACAAGGGATAGTAGGAAGCAGTTTACATCATCATATGACTGTATACGTTCATCACAGTACACCGTTGCTAGCCTTAATGCAGTATTAAAGTATTAATTCGCAAAGGCCCCTACTGTATACGTTGGACCGCGGGGCCGCCGTTGATAGGCGAAAAGTATAAGAATTCTCTTCCAAAGTTGAAGTAAAGAATGATGGTAAATGCCCGAGTTGGCCATGTGACTGCGAATGCAAACGCACACGGTGAGTGCAAACGCCGGCGGCTCTCGCACTCTTCACGAAATAATTCAATAGCGTGAAAAGTACTCGCGTTGTCGAGTCTCGAATTGAGGAAAACGCCCTCCAAAGGGCAGCTGGCGTTGCCGCTGCATCTCCTCCTCTCTCCTACGCCTCTAGTTTTATTTCTCGCAAACACCTGCTTCTCAAGATATTCTTTTAATAGAGCGGGATTGAAGCATCTTTTCTAATTCCTTAAATATACCTTGAATCTTTAACGCCACCGTCACAGCTGCCAGTCTTCATCAGGCAAGTCAAACTGTTTCTCTTGTCACCAGTGTCCTACAGCCCGATTTCAGGGATACAAATTTCCATCCCATGTCCTAACACAGTCACAGCCATCATGGCAGAAGAGACACCCGATTTGTTCGATTATCAAGATCTCGGCCACCGCTTCCAAGCCGAGATCCAAGCCCGCTTCCTTCCTCTCTGCTCTGAGGAAGAAAAATCACACGTCACCACATATCTCATGCCAATGGTCAAATTTGTCGCGTCCACAGTTGCGCCCTCCCGCCACAATCTCGTCAAAGGTCCAGTCCCTTCCGGATGCCCCGAGACGCTTCGCTGGGCCGTGGCCTGCTTCGTCTTTGGCACAGACAGGATCATGGCATCGCTAAGGTTTGGCGATTGGGTGCGAGCGAACCAAGAACTCCTCGAAAAGTTTCGACTCGAAAAGGGGGCCTGTCTTCCAATGCCCAAGTCGCCCTCCCGTACAAGCCTGGTCGGTGAGAAGCGCAGAACGTCGGGAGCTCACACCGGCGCTGGTGAAGAGGAGGACGACGAGGAAAGAAGCAAGAGGAGGAAGATGAATCCGATAAATTCCCAGTCCCTTCATCGCCAGATTGCACTGGAGAGCAGCGAGGCGGAGATGATAGCCCGCGAGAGTACCGTTGCAAGCCGTGAAGCAGAGATGAAAATTCGCGAGAGTACCGTTGCAAGCCGTGAAGCAGAGATGAAAATTCGCGAGGATACTCTCCAAAGCCGCGATATCGAGCTTAGCAACGTTAAGAGCGCTCTTGACGACCGCCAGGCTGATCTTGGCATCCGCACGACAGCCCTCGAAAGCCGCGAGGTTGAACTGCAGAAACGCGCGGATATTCTTCAAAGCCGCGATATTGAGCTTAGCAACGTTAAGAGCGCTCTTGATAACCGCGAGGCCGATCTTGGCACCCGTGCGGCAGCCCTCGAAAGCAGCGAGGCCGACCTGCAAAAACGCGGGATCGCTTTGCAAAGCAGCGCGGCTGAGCTGGATGAGTGCGCGAGACATCTCCAGAGCCGCAAGACGGCCCTCGACAGCACCAAAGTCCTCCTGGACAAGCGCGAGGCTGAGATGCAAAGTCGCGAGACAACCCTCGCCAATCTCGAAACTAGTCTCAACACCCGAGCCGACGGATCAGGCACCCCAGAGGCCAATCTGGGCCATCGCGGGGCGGCCTGCGACGCGCAGCTGGAGAGCGGACAAAAGCAGGAGAGGCACGAGAGCGAGGCCATCACGCTCGCCCAACCATCCAACCCCCTCGTCGACGACTACATTTCTAGCTACGACGAGTGCTACGACCGCGCGATCCTGGGCATCAACGCCATTCGCGTCCTCATGGATGACGCTGTTGGCGGCATCCAGAACGAAAAGTACCGCCGCGGGCTGGAGGAAGAGTTCAAGGAGGCTGGGCACAGCCTTACCTCTGCGACGAATCGCGGCTGGAAAATCTTTCGATTGCTGGCGGGCAAGTAAGGGCGAGCGGCAGCCATACGTGGCTTGGGTGTACATTTGAAGATGAAAGCTGGGTCGACGGCGATTGCGTGACTGCTTTGGGACAGCTCTGCTGCCGATTCTTTTGGGAAGGCGATACGCCCGGCTTTATAATAAGGGCTTCTTTTCGTTGTATTTTACGTTCGATATGGCGCGATTAGATTGGAGTAGAATTGGGACATAACCGTGACGCGGGATTTGGGTGACAATGGAACGTTTTCGCAGTATCGGCGGCCAAGGCGGAAAATATAGCACAGTCTTATACCTTTAGTCTAAATTCACCGGTATTTCATGCATCTAAGATTCCACTCTATAAAGCGACAGCGTGCACGCGGTCACATCAAGCATAAATCACCGAGTTATGGCAACCACAGGCGCAAACGCATCCATACATTAGACGTTAAACAAGAACAACAATTTTTCTCGCAAATTTGATTCTGCCCACATTATGCCCACTCCTTGCGGAACTTGGTCTCAAACTCCTCCTGCAGCTTTCGAAAGGCCTGGAGCACCTGCATCAAATTCCCATTGCCGTCATCCAACCGAGAAGTTTCGTCACGAGCCGAAGCCGACGAGCTCTCTGTGGTGCTGCCATCATCACTCGCCTCATCTTCCCAGGACTCCACCACAACCTTTTTCTTGCCAGCCTTGGCGTCCTTCCTGTGCGCCGTCACCGCCGGCCGCTCTGCAGAGTCGACATTGGATGACGAGGGCAGCGGCTCTTCATCTTGCAACTCGTCCAGCCGCGCTTGTATCGTATCCTCCGCATCCTGCACATCCATCATGGCAGCGTCATCAGCAGGCCCGTCGGAACGGACAAAGTTCTCCAGGCTGGTGATAATGGTTGCGAGAATGAGAGAAAAGTCCTTGAGCTTGAACCAGACATCACCAGACTTGATCTTGTTGTCGCGCACGAGCGCCTTCAAGTCGCCGTGCTTGAAGAAGTCGTAAATGTAGGCGTTCCACGGCTTGCCGGCCGTGTCGGCGGGGTAGAGGGGAATGTACGGTATAGCAGATTCCTCTAGGAACACGTTGCTGCGTACGGTGGCGCATAGCTCGTGAATCGTGCCGAAATCATCTGTGAATCCGGAAAGTGCCGCAAAGGGTGAGCGCAGCTTTGTGGGTGGCAGATGTGGCACCATGGACTGGTATCCCGGCTCATATGGATGCTGTGGACCAACTTCGTACCCCGTCATAGGCAGCTTTGTGTCTGGAGTTTGTTCTAGATGCTGCTTGATAAAGGTGCTCACGTATAGGCGGAAGATGTTCAGCGTCTCCCGATTGTGCCCTTGGAGCACAGACTCTGCTGCTTCTGGAAGAGGAGGAAGCCTAATCACGGACGGCGACCGAAGTCTGCCCGCAACACTGCTGTGGATGCCGAGGGGGATGCGACAGAATAGGTGTGAAAGTACAAGGACTAGCTCGAGCAAGACAGCCTCTGGTTTCCTCTCAATGGCCTCGCAGACTTGATGGAAGTACCCCTCTTTTAGCAAAGAATGAAACGCAAAGACGGCATTCTCGGTGAAATAAAGGTGGCCCACCAAGCCCGCAAAGTTGAGCGGAGTGCCGTCTTGAGAAAGAAGCTGCTGTCTCCGAAGATACTCAATGGAGAATCGAAGATGGTGCTTGATGGCCATTTGGTCCGACGGGCCGCCCAGATACAGACGGGATAAGGAAAGAATGGAATTGATGGCCCTTGTCGCGTACGCGGAGCTCTTGGTATGGTGCATTAGGCCCAACAACCGGACGACAAGGGTTGTCGAGAGTGGAAAGTGCCCGTTGAGGTCGGGCAGTCGGGACGACATGATTTCGAGGGCGCGGGCCAGTGGCATCCCGACAAACACAACATTTCCGAGAAGATCGAAGCCACGGCGACCGGCGCGTCCAGAGCCTTGGTGGTAGTTGAGCGGCGTGAGGAAGACCGAGTCGCCGAAGAAGACGACAGTCTTGCAAGGCATGTTGATGCCAAGAGCAAGTGTTCCGGTGGCAACGACAACCCGCAAATACCCCTTGCGAAAAAGCATCTCGACACTTGAAATGCAATGTTAGCAAAAAATTATGTTATAGGAGAAGCAACAATGTTTTGGGATAAAGTACTTACATTTGCCGGTAGTTGCGATTCATGCCCGCATGGTGCACCGCAAGGCCTCGCTTGAGGGCTTTAATAATCTTTGGCTGTACGTTGGCCAAAACGAGGCGCTTAAGCAGAGGCTGCAGCTCCGAGTCAGAAACATTCCTCCCATCTGCAAAGGAAAACTGATCTAGGGGTGCGTCGGGGTCGAAACTGTCCCATTTGCTTGCTTCCACGCTCGCCTCCTGCATCATATCCATTTTCGACACTCTCTCATCGTCCTGTCCGCGACTGTTTCCTGACCGTTTCTTGCTCACCGCCGTGCTTGGCTGGGCCTGGGATGTAGTCTTCTTCCAAGCTTCATACCCGGCGAGCTTTTTTGCCCACTCGGGGCTGGACTCCTTCCACACTTTCTCGGCTCGATCCAGCTGTGCGAGGACGTAGACAACGGTCGCCTCGCACGCTTCACGGTCGTAGTTGAAGAGAATGCCGGGAAGAGCTCCTCGGGCGTGTAAATCGGTAAGCATAGGTAGCGCCAATGTGAATAGACGTTGTTTCGTGTTAGTCACTGAGAAGGTGACCTTGAAATCGCTGTCGCTGACATCGACAGGGGTTTCAGGGCTTGGATTAGATAGCTGAGATCCTAGTTCCTGTTGCAGGGCAGAAAATGGCGAATTGACGTCTTGAATCCACAGCTGCAAAACTTTCTTTAGAGACGCCCCCCATCCTAGCACGTCGGAACGTTTGACGATGGCTGGCAAGGCGTTTTCTGGATGTAATGTGTTGTCGACAGGGTAGTCTTTGTTCTGATGCTTTGACATACATCGCCACAGGGACATGCAATCTCTCGGCTCGAGAGAGATGTCGTCGATGGATCCACGATTACTAAGAAGCCCCGTTAGTTAAGATCATCAGAAACGTAGGAATATCGCACTGTCTCACCGATTTGTGAGGCTGACGATGGGATGGATAAAGTCGAAAGACTGTCCTTCTCCCGACCCTTCATCAAGCCCCGGCGTCTTAAGTCCCTCCACTGGCAACAGCCCTCTGAATACAAACAAATTCTCCGGAGGGCGGTACAAAAACTTGCGCAAGTCCGAGTAGCGAGAAGAGTGGACAATCATCTCCATGTCCCGACCCTTGCCTTTCTCGCACGCTTCCAGCCACTGCATAAACTCGAGCGGATTGCCCACCGTGGCCGATAGCGCAATAATCGGACAAGGCGCCAGTAGCAGGAGCTGTTCCCAGACAACGCCGTCCTCGGCCTGGCCGATGCAGTGAATCTCATCAAAAATGATTCTCTTCACCCGCGCCGACCAGGACCTGTCATTCTCCGCATTCGAAGGCGCAAGCAGCATGATCTGCAAAATATGCGGTACCGTCACGAGCACCTGGCAGCCGCTCGGGTTGTTGATTCTGTAATCGCGCGTGTGAATAGCCCATACGGACCGGCCGTCGTGGTGGTATGACTTGGAGAAGCGCGCCTGGACTTCCGCCGCGATCTGGTTGACGAGTGCCTTGGTGGGCGCCACGTACACCAGGATGCCGTCGTCAGTCGACTGAAGGACTTGCTTCATGGCGTAGAATGAAATAAATGTCTTACCGGCCGAAGTGGGTGCCACGACGAAGAGGCTCTTTTCGCAGTCGATGGCGTCGAGCACTTTGCGCTGCCATGCGTCGGGAATAAAGTTCGGCACACGGGCATCGGGCGCCGGATCAAAACTTCGCTCCAAGAAGGGACCGCAATGTTCCAATTGGAGCTCCAGAGGACTTGTGGGTAGATGTAGGTCAGCATCAACGGAGAAGGGCAGCTGACGGCCGTCCAACAGGTGGTTCTCGGCGATGGCGGCCGGCATAGGCATCCTGAAGACGCCAGATAGCTTTTCAAGGAAGCGGAGGCTCTCAGTGGATTGCGCCAGTTTGCCGGCCACGAGAACTTCTGACCACACTTTGGCGAATACAGCCATCCTGAATTTGGCACCTTTTTTCTTCCCGCTATCGCGCAAAATGGAGACAAGAGTCTGGCAAACGAACAAATGCACCTCAGCACCTATGAGACTTCGAGCATCATCAGACAGACTAGACATGTATGCCATGATCTTGTCCAGACGTCGTATAAGATTTCTCTCTGATTGAAACTCGCGACAACGCTCATCCCAGAATGTTATCACAGTACGGGCCTTGCTGTCGAGCTTCTCTCTCTGCACTTTTCGTGCTTCTTCCAAGGCGTTGCTTCGGCCACCCTTGATGGGGTTCTTCTTGTTCTTTGACTGCGAATCATGGCAAAGGGCCTTTGAGCCCAGCTCGTCTGTGACGTGAATCTTGCCCTTGTGCTTGCTGGGATGCGGGTTCCCTCTCGGACCCGTCACAATGGTTTCAGGGTTGATGTTCTTCCCTGCCGAGTTGGTCAGACTCGCCGAGTAGGCAATCGTATCGGCCATTAATTTCTGGTTTCTCTGGCGACTAAAAAAGCCCGCACGGCGAGGTCTAGTCTTTGGATCGACGTGCTTATTGGCATTGTGCCAGTGTGACAGCTCACGGAATACTTTGGAAGTCCCAGCTGTCTCCGCGGTGTTGTCTTTGGCGACGACATGGATTGGCTCCAAAAAGGTGTTTAAATCAGGGTGAGGGTGTTTAAAAGTCAGAACTGTGTCGTCGCACTCTTCCACAGTTTTTCTGAGGTGTGGTAAAGCACAGGTAGAAGTTTGCGGAAGAAACTCGAGAATGTCGACACTCGTGAGCAAATTGATTCGTTCGGCGAATTTTCTGGCCTCGCCCAGGACCGCTGCCGTTGGTTCCAAGCTGAGCAGATTCGCTAGGACTTGACGAAGAATTCGGGAGTCAAAGAGATCAAACACATCCCAGTTATCCTGTCTCGACAGACTTTCGATGTGCGTGGCGCAGATGTCACTAAAGCAAACGAGGAACGCGTCGAGACCTTCCCGCAGCTGTGGTATCAGAGATATCGCCGGACAAGGTCTCTCCGATAGACTGCATCTCTTCAGTTCTGAAATGTGAAGTATGTATGCGGCTGCACATCTTCTCATTATTTTGCTCGCGTCGTGCACAAGCACATTGCAGACGCCGGTGAGGGAGACCAATTCTTTGGTCGACAGTGACGCCTGGTCATCCCAAGGTGACCAATCGCCCACGACGCCTGCCATACGCTCTAATTCATCTACTTGAATAATGTCTCTTCTCGGCAGAGGCGACAGTTTCTCCAGGTCGAGAGTTCCCGTGCTGGCTGATGGTGGAAGCACCGATGCAAACGCCTGATTCAAAGCGCTTGTTAGCGCTCCGTGCACGATTTCTCCACGTATAAACAATTCAAATCCCGCAATGGATGGGGAAGTCTTGACGAACCTTGGAGCTTTTGAACTCGAACGTGTCGATAAGAGCGACACTGTAACCTCTTGAGCCAATCTGATTGATAAACTCCAGATGCCCCCTTGCAAACAGCGACGCGCCCGCGTCAAGACTGAAGCCATCGAGGCACAAGAAGAAACGAAGGGAATTTGTGGCCAGGTGCTTTTCAAACTCGACACTTTCGACAGTGGGAAACTGAAAAGATATCTCGTTTCCAGAGAAGTGATGCTTGAAGTGTTGAATCAAGATGGCCCGTGTCAGGCGATAGAAGCCGGACGCGGTGGGAGAGGAGTCTGGCGGGATGCAAATCCGTTCATGGCTACTGAACCAAACAATGTGAAATTGGCATCCACGCCGCTGCAAATTCCAGAGAAATGTCTCAACCGCGTGGATGGCATGGAGTAGCTGGAAGCCGTCTAGTCGTGATTAGCATCGCTTTTCCGATTTATCTTCTTCTTCCGAGGTAAAGGTATAGAAACTACAAAATGATATAGCTTTGCATACCTTGATCGCTGACTTTTGCCTCGGAGAGGCAGTGCGTCAAAAGAGCCTCGCCGTGTATGGCAAACAGCTCCTTGCCAGCAAAGTCGCCGATGAGGTCAACCCGAAGTGGTCGCAGCGTCTGATACCAGGCCAAGAATTTTTCGTCACGCTTTTTAGACTTCATTGCGGGCAATAAAATAAAGATGGAGGAGGAACAAGAGAAAAATGTTTCATCAGCGCCAAGGCGGACTTGAGACGTTGTGATGGTGACTCTGTGTTGTTGCGATGAGCGCGCAACCCTGCCCGAAAAGTTGCCCGGCAGGAAAAGCACTTTATAACTTTCAATTCAAACAAAATCAGTCCCAGTTTATCAGGCGTGAAAGAAAGTACTGGCGACGGGGGCAATTCACCTGACCTTGCATTCACTCCCCCCCAATGCTGCAATCACTTCCGCAGGATGTGACTCACTCTAAGTTACTTGAATCCTTGATTCATTATTCTTCGAGAATATGCCCCAGTCCAGTACATGATCTGAGAGAGGAGAGATGCAGCCGTTGGGTGTCATGCAGCCGCCGACAACCAGTTAGGCAGCAAGAAGTGGTGGCACACCTGGTCACCTAATCGGAGGCTGATCCGATCCATGTCAAGAAAATTGCATGACTGTCCATCACTGGCGCTGGTTCAAGATTATGGGCTGCGCAATGGTATATGCAGACGAGTAGGCAAGTTCGATCGGTTCCACCCACACCGCCAGCCGAAGCGACCACGGATGGCTGCGCAAGTGCTGTGAATCTCGCTGCACCGGATTCTGTACGGGCCATATTTGTTGAATTCGTATTCATACGGTTCTATTGCATCGTTGTATTCGCGCTTCTCTGCGAGATGGCTTCGTTACTACCTGTTGCTGTACCTCGGCGACTTGCATGCTGATCGGGCTGCTATTCCACAGCTAGCGACAGTTGTCTGGTTGCGTTATCCATCGGTGACTGGTAGATAAGATGGCTGGCCTGAGGGCGAAGAGCACCCAGACCGTCATGTCAAGTAGCCATACCACGCGTTAGATGGAAATGCCTTGCACTCCAAAGCGGAAAAGGGACGCAACAAAACACTGTAGTAGCGAAGTACGCATGTAGTTGATATTGGCTTTATAGAAATGATGCAGCCGGACAACTGTATGATCACTAATCTCTGTAGCACCAAATTAGCAGTGCAGGATGCGGTAATGCCGAGAGTCATCAACGATCAAGAACGTTCGAATACATTCTTCTTGCCCAGATGCAACATCTAGATTTTAAGCCGATAGCTCGTATTCGGGCTCGAATTGCCGCAACCGGGCCCTTTTTTTCCCTCTGCAACTATGTTCTCTATCCATGTAACACTACAATCCATCATCATTTCCCGACATAATCCATCTCAAAAAGACAAGGCTAGTCTATATCGACGAATGCATCAAAGTCGCCCTTATACTAAGTTATTCAAAACCGCGCGGCGCGCGAGGACAAGTATGTTGTATTGGCGACTTTGCTGTGGTGTTGTTTGTCTTGACTGGCACTAGAACTATTTACAGTGGCACGCAATGCCCTGTTAATTCCGCCGCCGATCGTGCCGACGGGCTTGGCCGAGCGCCACAGCCAAGCCGCTCACTGCCAACCCTCGAGTGGACAATAATGAAGACCATTATACATGAGAGAGACGCGCAACCATAAAGGAGGCATTCCACGGTTCGACAATGCAGCGCCTCGTCAGCCTATCCTCGCGCTTCCTGCTTGGACTCACTCTCGCGATAATTGTTGCATGTTGCGAATGCCACCAAAAACACGGAGCTAGGAATTGGGTTCTCGTCATGCCTCCCCCGCACTTTGGCAAGGAACCTGTGTACTCGCACATCTGGACGAAACAAAAGTTCCAGACGGGCTTGTACTCGCACATCTGGATGAAACAAAAGTTCCAGACGCCTTCCTGATGAAGCAAGTCAAGCCGCTCGTGACAGGGATCATCCGTAAGAGCACGACATCGTTTTTCTACGCCGTACCCCGTCACAATCAGCCATTCCACGCAGCCTTACTTGAAAGCGTCGTTCATGACGGTCCACCGATATGAGAGGCAAACTAATCAACGTAGAGAGAATTCCATGGTTGGTCCACTTCCGAGCTCAAATCCAGCATTTTCGCTGCGATTGCGTGATGGCCCAGAATCCACACTATAGCAACACTTAGCTTCGGGCTAGTTCTGCGAGTTGCATTGTCAGCCGTTGATAGGCGTTTCCTCGACGGTTTCCGTGCAGATATTCTTGGGATATATACCGGCGGTCCCCCGGCTCCATCGTCCCTCGGCGAGTTACTCCCGTCGTAAAACCAGGTATATTTCGACGTTTCACTGCGACATGGCCGAAGAATTGGGCGAAAAACGCCCTCATCGCATAACAGAAAGCGACGCGACCATTATCACTGCCGAAGCGGACGCGCCCATTGTCCCGCTAACCGAAGCCTCAGACAAGGACGATGGTGGCTTCCAGATCGACCTCGAGTCCAAGGACGTAGAGAGTGCCAAGACGCGTCTGTACACAATCACCAACGAAAAAGGCGAGGAAGAAAATATCCCCGAGGACGACCCGCGCATCAGCAGCATCCCGAGCTATGTGCGCCGCGTGGTCAACTTGACGGATGACCCGGCTGAGCCGACCATGACGTTTCGCTACTTTCTGTTGACGATCCTCTTCGTCGCGCCAGGCGCTTTCCTGTCTCAAATGTCGCATTTCAGAACCACGTCGGCACCGTATAGTGTAAGTGGAACAGATGAGCATTCAACCAGCTGTAAGCTAACCGTCTGTAGGTCTTTTTTGTCCAGATTGCGTCCAACTATGTCGGGAAATGGCTGGCGCATGTGCTTCCGGCGTGGGAAATCAAGATTCCTTTTACCAAAAAGAGCTTCAACCTCAACCCTGGCCCGTTTAGTACCAAGGAGCATGTTCTTGTAACCATCTCGGCTGCCAGTGGTGCGACTTACAAGTACGTTGCACTGGGAAGTAAAAATCCCGGATCACTAACACTATTATTAGTCTTGGATATACCCCGATATCAATGTCGGAGCTGTACTTCAACGAGCCTGTGAATGGGGCCGTCGCTACCTTTTTTATGTTGGCGATTACCTGGACGGGCTATTCGTACGCAGCCCTGGCCCGGCAATTCTTAATCTATGACCCTCAGTATCCTTGGTACGTTTCAAAAAGCCTACGTACCAATTTCATTTGCTGACATGTCATTCTAGGTTCCAAGCGTAAGTTAGCTTCGATTCGCGGACCCGTTCAGTACTCATCATATCTAGGCTGTGCCAAACAGCTCTCTTCGAGACGCAGCGGAAACAGAGAGAGCACCCGACGCCCCTCTCCCGCAAACAAATGAAGGTCTTTTTCGGCGTCCTCGTTGGCATCATTCTCTGGCAATTTCTGCCCGAATTCGTCTTTCCTTTTTTGGGCTCGCTCGCCTTTCTCTGCTGGGTCGCGCCGCACAACGCGACGGCCAACTTTATCGGCAGCGGTTTCGGTGGCATGGGCTTCCTCAACCTGTCGCTAGACTGGTCGAGTATCTCGGCGGGTACGAGTCTGTTTTTAACCCCGTTCTGGACGCAGGTCATCATGTTTGCTGCTTTTGCGGTGAGCTGTTGGGTCATCATCCCAGCCGCCAAGTTTGGCAATATTGCGACGTGGAACCACGAGCTCATGTCCAACCGCGTTTTCCAAAGTATGTGTTTATTTATGGAGCGTGGTTTCACACAGAGCTCAGGGCTAATGTGACAAGAAAACGGGACCCGATATCCTCTCGCCCAACTACTGACTCCCGAAATCACCCTGAATAGGACAGCCTACGAAGAATATGGTCAGCTGTACTCTGGACCACAGTACCTTTGGAACATGTTTTTCGACTACGCCGCGTACACTTCTGCCATTGTCTGGATTATTCTCTTTGGCCGTGACCAGATCAAGAGCAGCTGGGACAAGTTCAAGGAGCGGCGCGGCAGCAAATCGGCTGGCAAGATTACGGAGCAGTACAATGACCAGATCAACATTCTACAGCGTCGCTACGACGAGATTCCACTGTCTTGGTTTCTTGCTTTATTTCTGGCGTCGTTTGTCATCATGATTGCCATTCTGGCCAAGGGGCTCTTGTTTGTGCCAACGTGGACGTACATTGTGGGCATTTTGACCGGTGCCGTCATTGTCATACCGTTGGCGTGGCTGTATGCGCTCTCCAACTTTCAGCTGCCGATTGGGACAGCCAACGAACTGTTTTACGGTCTGATGATTTCGAGCGTATCCGGTCATAAGAATCCTTGCGGGGCTAGCACGTATGGTGCTATTGCCGGTGATGCATGGTATCGGGCGCAACTTAATTTGCAAGATATGAAAATAGGCAAGTAATTTCTTTGCCTCTCGATTTCGTCCCTTCTTTCATCATATTTTTTCTCTCCCCATACATCAACGCTTATACCCACAAATACTCTCGAGCCCGCAGTCTCTAACGTCAAGACACAGGGCACTATATGCACGTCAGCCCCAAAGCGGTATTTCTGAGCCAAATCATTGGCACCCTGATAGGAATCCCTATCAACTATGCCACCATTCGCTGGGTTCTCGACACAAAGCGAGAATACATCTCCGGTGCCAAGGAAGATCCCACCCGACAGTGGACCGGCCAAGCCCTCGCGGGCTACCTTTCCAGCGGCGTGCAGTACGTCCTCATCGGCCCCAAGGAGCTCTTCAAGCAGGAAATCTACAAGCCCGTGCCCTACGGCTTTCTCGTCGGCGCCATTGCGCCCATCATCATCTACTCGCTCCACAAGTTGTTCCCGCGGGCCAAGTTCCACCTCTGGAACACGACCATTTTCTTCTCCGGCATGTCGTCCTTTTACGGCAACATCAGCACTGGGTACACGTCGAGCTTTATCGGCGGCATCGTCGTCATGTACTGGGCCTTTCGGTACCGGTACGACCTTTGGGCGCGCTGGAACTATATTCTGGCGGCCGCGTTTGACGCGGGCTTCAACTTTAACATGCTGCTTGTGTTTTTGTGCTTTGGCGCGGGCAAGATTGTGGCCATGCCACACTGGTGGGGAAATAACAAGGAGAGCAGCGAACGATGCTTTGCTCTTGATAGCTAGGAGTAGTATATTTGGAGTAGACTGTCTACCGTAGTGTACGCACAGGTTGATTGAGTCTTTCAATGATTTGTCCATGAAGGAATCTTCATAAACCTGGTGCGTATTGTGGGAACCTAGGACCACTGCTGCACAGCTAGAATCTACGCAGAGCAGAGCAGAATTGAATGGGGGACAAAGGAGACTTTCAAACCAAAGACGACAAATTGGCCATAATTATGTCTAATACAATTCGAAATCATGACATTCGGGAATAGTGCACTATGCTGTAGGTGGTGTGGTGGCACTGTTGAACAGTACAGGGTACTTAAGGTCAAATTCATGCCAGTAAGGTGTGGATCCCGCTTTTGCTTCAACGCGACAGGCACCTTGTAACTGATGCTCTAACCAAAAAGTGCTTGATCCGCTTTCGTGGATCTACTGGGGCGATCGGCTAGTTATCGCATCTATGGGTCCTAAAATAGTTCAGCACGGGTTGCATTGAGCCATTGAGCCTCCTTCTGTTTTATTGAGGAGCCGATCAGACTCGCTTACGCGTTTCTCAATTCTCAATGGTCGATCGGGGCTGTGTAGATTCTTACGTCATCGGGTTGAACTTTTGTTTGCGTCCGAAACACCGTCTCGGAGAAATCTCCCATGCTGCATCGTTTCACATTTACCACTTTTTGCCGCGAGCCTTCGTCGCTCATAAAAGGCGCGTCGCAACGTTTGTCCACCTTGTCAGAATCCTCCCCACCACGACATGATTACCGACGAAGATCGCGAGATCCTCGGCGCCCAGCCGTTGACGGCCTGGGATCGAGTCAAGATGATTGGCATCGTGGCCCTTTTACGTGAGTGCAGATGTACTTTTTCTATTTTTCGATGGTTTCTTTACCGCAGTGCAAAATACTGATACTCTCTGCGACGACAAAAAAAAGCCATCGCATTCATTTACCAGCTGGTCCGGTTCTTCCTCCCCTCGCACCCGCAGCGCAGCCTTCACTGGCGCCAAAAGGCCATGCTGGCCAGCATCCACGCCGCCAACGTGTTCCAGAGCCAGAAGCGCATCAGCTACGCGGGCAGCCACGTTAAGACGACCGACGAGCTGCTGCGCGCGTTTGTGCGGAAACGTCGCGACCGCATCCAGCACCGCGAGGTCGCCGTGCCCATCAGCGCGGCCGCGGCGACCAACCCCGCCACCGGCCGTGCCGTGCCGTCGCCCACGCTTCACTTCCTGTCCGGGCCGTGGCTCGGCAGCGGCGACGGACCTGTGCTCTTCTACGCGCACGGCGGCGGCTACCTCGAGCCCGTGGTGCCCGGCGCGCACATTCCCCTCGCGCGCAGCATGGCGCAGGCCTGCGGGGCGCGCGCCATCGTCTTCATCGCCTACGCGCTCTGCCCGGAGGCGCAGTACCCCGCGCACCTGGTGCAGGTTGTCGAGGCGATGCGGTTCCTCCTCGAGCGCGAGGCGATCCCGCCGGGCGAGCTCGTGCTCGCGGGCGACAGCGCGGGGGCGCACATGATGGCGTCGCTGCTCGCGCACATGGCGGCGCCGGCACCGCACGTGCCGCCGCTG